AAAAATGTGCCCTACGCTTCCTGCGACAATCACCTTGCTGACGGAATGAATGATGGTGTCTTAAAATATTGCACAGAAAATGCTTTAAAGGAAGGTCCCTGGGGACCCAGGAGCAGGGCCGCCTCTCCTCAGAAGACCTCTTTCTTGGCTTTTAGTGCAACCTAAATCAGAGGATTAGGAACCATCACATGTCACAAATTCAAGCATATTTAAGGGCATTTTCTTTGTTCTCAAAATTCACTATTCATTTTTGATCAAGAAACCTATATAGTTACCCAGCAAAGTGTACATAGAATTTCTTAACAACTGAATCATCTTACAGGATTTTGTGTTTAAAACTGGAGAGTTCAGTGTAAGCAAATGAAGAAAAAAAGCCATGGATTTCACAAATACAGCTTTTGATCCCTGTGTGGAGGTAATAAATCCCATTATTTGCCCCAATTTCTTCCTCTCTACACTAAAGCAATATGTGACATGTTCCCTTCTTGAGGGGGCAATTCATTCAACTCTCAACTTCTCTGTGAATGAAGACAGAACTTGTAGATATCCCAAATCACCAAAATGGGAAAAACTAAACTGAAAATATTTTGTCTTCAAGAATGCCAAATATCTAGATTTTTAAATTTATCAATATTTAACTATATAATTGGCACACCTTATTCTTTTGTTTATCCACTTATCCACATGAATAAAACTGATAAACCAGTGCATATTCATTGGCTCATCCTATTATCAGGGTATAGTCATCTGTGAGGAGGACATTTTTAAATACTACAAATGATTTAACAGCTGATGTACACTTCAGACTGACTCTCACACAGGCAGGGAAACCAAAAACATATTACTGCCATGTGATTCTTAATAGTTATTTGGCTTAACATCCCGTTTGGTATTATCTCTCTGAAAAATCTGTGGCAAGCCCATACACTGCAGTCAAGATTATAGACTGGTTAAGAAGAACGAATGTGCCTATTTGGCTTTAGGGTGAAAATAACAAACTATTCCTCATGCTGATTCTCTTGGTGCCATTATCCTGGAAAGGCCTCCAAAGTCTTTGTGATTGTCATTATCACAGAATATGTGTGTCCTGTACTATGACACTCAATTTAGGGAGAAACCAAAGAGAGAGGTGACCTCGCTTCTCTCAGGGAAAATTGAGAGTTGAACACAGGACACGAAATGGGCTTTGCCACTTTTAGCTCAAGGCTTTTCCTACTGGACTTTATTTCCTCATGTTCTAGAAAGATCACTAATGGTCAAGTGGAGCAAGTACTGTACAACTAACCCCTATTGGGGTTTTTACTGAAGGGAGGCTGGTTTTTTTTCTATTTAAATTGCTTGAGATATACATTGTGCAAAAGGTAACCTTCACACTTGGCCCTCTGGGCATTATTTCTGGAATTAATTGCTCGTGGCTATCAAACAGAATACTGACCAGAATGCTCTTCCTGTAGCTTAAATAACTGGTTCATTTCATGTGATTCTTGACCTGTTTATTTCTACCCTTAACGCAATGAAGTATTTCACTAATAAAACTGTTTCTAGGAAATTGCACTGGAAATTGTATGTTATGTCATCAGATGACCAGTCGTCTCTAGTCATCTGAAAGTCGTCGACTTTCATTTGAAAGATGCTCTTTGCCCTCTTGACAGATGCAGGCCTGAGTCGCACCCGTTGGGCCACTTGTGATTTCTGCTCGGCTGTGGTGGCCAGTTCTAGGCAGCCTGACCAGTTGAGCTTGAAGCGGGCGCCACACTGTGTTCCTCTGCCCAGGGCTTTCTGCAGAGCCCTGGGAGCCCCTCAGGAGCACTGGGGGCCAGTAGGCTCAGGTATCGACCCTTAACCAAAGGGGGGCAAGAGCAGGAAGGAACATGTTTACAAGTGACAGAAGGTATTTGCTTGGAGTTCAGAGAGGGAAGAATAGTGGAGATAAGGTTAGAGAGAAATGCAGGGTCCAGATCAACTTGGGTCTTATTAAGCCATGTTAAAGATTTTGGTCTATCTTAAGACCAACAGGAAGTGTTGCAAACTGGATTGAGGGGTCGGGGGAGAAATAGGAGACATGTCAGGCTTGTTCAGAAAGGCCTACTGTAGCTGCAAGGTGAATACATTGAAAGAGTCTACATGGACCCAGGGAGGTCAGTTAGGAGGCTGCCATGTTAGGTGGGTCCCTTTGGGGTCTCCGTTGGCATGCAAGATGGATCTTGTGTGGGTGTCATGCACCAGCCTCCAGGGTGAATTCCACAAAGCTGCATAGCAGGGGTTAAGTCATGGGCTTTATTGAGGGAAAATAAAAATGTTCAGAGGTATAGGGCCAGGAAAGCAAGAAAAAAGGCACAGACCCTCCATCCTCCTGTCATCCTATGGAGGCCAGCCAAGGGCCAGAGTACTGTTTGGTCTCACTAAGGAGCACATACCTGCCTTCTAGTCCCCCTTTTTAAGGGGCAAGAGTGAAGAAGCAGTCTTATCCATGAAGGAATGTACAAGCCACTGAGCAACAGGCAGTTTGGATTTCGGGTGAATGCTTTATAGAAACTGGGACTGCCAGCTGCCTATTTCCGGAACGTTACAATCTCCATCACTGGGGTAAAGAGGACCCCGGTTCCATGGGACCTGAGCTTGGGTGCAGCTCCTTCTCCCAGCAGCAGGGCAACCCAGAATGAGGTCACAGTCCGACAGTCCAGCTCACCGCACTGCAAGGGCTCCTGCAATGTCTAGGTACAGGTTGGCAGACCTTTTCTGTAAAGGGCCCAATGAAACAGTTTTGGCTCTGCAAGCCTCTCTTGTCACAACTACTCAGTTTTGCTCTTGTATCATAAAAGCAGTCATGGGCAACATGTAAACAAATGGATGTTTCTGTGTTCCAATAAAACTGTATTTACACAAATACATGACAGTCCATGTTTGGCCATCATTTGCTAATCCCTGGTCTAGGCAAAAGATTATGGTAACTGGAATCAGGGAGATGGCAGTGGAGATGAAGGGTTTTAGAAATGCTTAAGACTTGGAGATGAGGGGCGCCTGGGTGGCTCAGATGGTTGGGCGTCTGCCTTCGGCTCAGGTCATGATCCCAGGGTCCTGGATCGAGTCCCGCATCGGGCTCCCTGCTGGGTGGGGAGGCTGCTTCTCCCTCTGCCTCTCTCTCTCTCTCTCTGACTCTCATGAATAAATAAATAAAACATAAAAAAAAAATAAAAGACTTGGAGATGAATATGGGAGAGGGACATGTCATGGAACTCATTCACCCCATTCCACAGTATTGAATAAGGTCTGTCACGGGGGCAGACACTCTGCCAGCAGTAGGGATACAACCAGTTAAGAAAAACAAAACAACAAAACAGAGTTCCCTGTCCTCGTGGAGCTTATATTAAATGTGGGAAGCAATAAACAGGTGGTGGTAAGTACTAAGGATATTTAAGAAGCCACAGTGACAGGACTGGAATGTGCTATTTTAGAAAGGGTGGTCAGGGAAGGCTTCCTATGGAAGAAATATTCACCCATTCTTTTTCATCCCTGATCCTTCTCCCCTTCCATCCATTATTTCTGTGATTTCACTCTGCGGGTTCTCCTAGCTCTCTGGCCATGCTCTCTCAGGCTGTTGAGGGCTGTTTGTTCACTTCTTAATACCCGTGCTCAGCTGCAACCTCTTCTCACTTGATAACTCTTCCTGACAATTCCATTGACTCCCTGACTTCAATTACAACCTAAACACTTACAGCTGAAACAGGGGTCTGACTTCAACCTCAGCTGCTGGCGGATATCCTCCGCCAGATTGTCCTCAAATCCAGAAAGCAAAAAAAGGAATTCATTTTTTCTTGTCTTCGTTCCAAATTCCCATTACTGGGGAATGGCATCGCAATCCACCCAGTTGTACAAGCCCAAAACCAGGGACTCTTGCTAGACTATTTTCCCTTCCCTCCGCATCCCCTCAGTCATCAAGTCCATCTGCTCCTGTCTCCCTTCCCGCTGTCCTCTTCCCTGGGTCAGCACTCTCACTGGGGCTCCTGCAATTACCACTATTGGCATGATTTAATTTTTTGAATAGGTAAACCGTTTACATTTTCAAAAAGCATAAAAGGGGTTTATAGCGAAAAGTCTTCCTCCACCCATCTCCCAGATACCCAGTTCATCTTCCCAGAGGCAACTGATGTTACTCACTTTTTTATATATATCTTTCCAGGAATATTTTATACAAGAATGTGTATTATATATTCTAACCCTTTCTTCCATCTCCAAAGTTGTAGCATATCATAGACAGTATTCTAATTGTTTTTTATGTGATACATCTTTGAGATCTTTCTTTTCAGTACATAAAGAGCTTTACTGTTCCCATTTCATGTCTGAATAGTATTCCTTTGTATAAATGCAACTATTTAAGCAAACCCGTTTGTTTCCAGTCACTTGTTATTATACACAATGCTGTAACCAAAAACCTTGTAGTCCATAATTTTGTCCAATCATTTATAAGATAAATTCCTAGAAGTAGCTGGGTCCAAGGATTTGTCATTTTGATAGACACAATGGCTTATTTTAATTTTTATTAAAGTATACAAGCACATAGGTTTAAGAATCAAATAATTCTAGATGATTTATTTTTTTTTAAAAAAAGGAACTTAAACAGATACCATTCTCAAAGGCACCTCTGTTAACCCTTTTTTTTTTTTTTTTTTTAATTTATCCCCATGACTAGGTAACAGGCTGCTTCGTCTATTTTCATGAGTTTTAGCATTATCCATCGCTCTACAATACGGAGATGAGGATTTGGCCTTCCTACCTGGGCCTCATTACACACTCGTATTCAACCGCACGCACACCTTTCCCAAGGGTCCTCCCTAAGGCAGATTTTAAGGGCCTTCCGACGGCACGCCCCCGCGAACTCGCAGCATTTCCCCACGCTTGAGACGCCCCACACCACGTGAAGCCACTAAGCCCCGGAAGCTGGCGGGACCGGGGGCGTTCCCGCTCCAACCCCCGCCCCCTGAGCCTTTCCGGCATTCCGGCCTCTTAGGCTAGGCCAGAAAAGAGGCGGAACTCCCCACTCCGAAGGCAGTTTCCCGGCGGGACTGAAAAGCCGAGTGCACCGAGTGTCGCGGGAGCGGCGCTTTGGTCCCCTGCTCCCGCGACATGGCCTTCAACTTTGGGGCTCCTTCGGGCACCTCTGGCACCGCTGCAGCCACCGCGGCCCCCGCGGGTGAGTGATCCTTCCGGACCTTCTCCCGGGGAGGAGGGGAGGCCTCCGGTCCACCCCCTCGTCCGAGATTCTCCAGTTCGGGGATCCGGGGGGGGGGGCGGGGATCTCCTGGCTGCTTGGGGATTTTAGGTGCTTCGGAAAAGGGCGGGCGGCGGCAAAGCGGGCCCAGGCGGCTCCTGAGGAGGCCGCGGGGGAATTCGAGGCCCAGCCTGTGGCTCTCATGCTGTGCGTGGGTCCCCGCAGGGCCCTGTCCTCCTGGGGGTCGCTTCCCGCCGCCGGGGAGCCCTTCTCGGAGAGACTGGAGAGCGGCTCCTCTTTCCCATTGCGGGAGACCCGCCCTGCCCTCCTCACCTCAGCCTCCGGCATCCGCGGGAACGCTTGCTCGGCTCCCTCTGCTGGGCTCGGCGAGGTTAGGGCTGGGGAGCCGCGGGCCCTGCCTTGCGGCTCCTTCGGTGCTGGCCCTTTGGTTCTTGCCGCGGGGACTTGACGCTCCTGCTCCTCTCTCCTGTCCCCACCTCCGCTTTCTTAACTCGTTTGGAGCTAAGTCAAGGTTTGTCTTTGTTCCCTTCTGTAAAACCTGCTGACTCTTCTAATCCTTATCTTGCTTTCTTTTTCTTTTCTTTCCCCTCTCCCGTTTTAAAATTTTCTTTGCCTACACGCCTATCAGGATTTGGTGGGCTTGAGACTGCCAACTCCACCGCCAGTGGGTTTAATTTTGGGGGTTTCGGATTAACTGCTAATCCTGCAGTGAACTTTAATATTGGGAATTTCGGTGTTTCTACTACCTCGGCGACTCCGTTCAATTTTGGTAACAGTCTGGCAAGTGCAGGTAGATACTGCGGGTCGTATGTGTAACGAATGTTGGGAGCTGGAGTCCAAGAATATTTTGTGGTTCCTAGTTTTGGAAAGAACAGCGACTTGTCTAATGAAGGGAAATTCATTTTCTAGTGTCGAATCAAAAACATTTGTATCCAGTTTTGACTGTCTTAAAAGATTTGGTATTAAGAAATCTTGCAAGTTATAACGTTCCTTTGTTAATCTTGTATTTGATTGAACAGACTATACCTTCCAAGTGATAAGAATTTGGAATGGATTATTATTTTGAGTAGAATATGTTTTCCAAATTGTTACGTATCTCTTCCAAAATAGAAGCTCAGCAGTCAGGCCCATTTCTCTGGGATTCTTGGACTCCTGCAGTCATTTTTTTTTTTTTTCATTTTTCCTGCATCTTTCATTGGAATTTCATTTGATTGTCCTTGTGTTTCCCAAAAGAAACAAGTCTTATACGAACAGCAGTATCCTGTCTTGTTTTTTTAAGGTGTATAACAACAATAATGTATTTCTTTGATCCACTCAGCAGATTAGGATACATTTCTATAAGGTATGTAATTATAGAAAGAGCCGCCGATTTTTTGCTGGATTTTTTGAGATATGAGCAGAGCAATTTAATTTATTGTCAGATAGTATTGAGTTCTAGTAGGTAGGCTAGACATCTTTGCATTAAAAAAAATAATGAAGATTTTAGTATCTATATAGGTTGAAGCTTATTGGAAATTTGCAAAACAAACTATGATGTGTATATATGTGTATATAAATTTAAAATAGGTCTGTATGTACCTCTTATAGTTATCCTATAGAAAAGTCTTGTTCCTCTGCTGCTCGTATATGAATTTATTGTCCATATTCTCTTACATTATGCCACTTCTGCCCATGCCAATTATATGCATTTGGTAAACATTATTTATTCCCTAAAATTTATTTGGGTATTTGTGCAGTATTTGTTACTGCAGTGCGAATATCACCTTGACATCTGATTTGAAACGTTTTGAAGAATACTTGAAACCTTGGATTCCAAAGATAAAGCTGTCCGTTATCGTTAAGGTATATTTTAAGTGATCATGTATCACTGTCATTGGTATGTTTATTATTCCCTGTTTGCTTAAAATTGGCAGTGGGTAAAACAACATTATTTTGAAATTTGTGTTTCCGAACAAAGCCACCCAGCTTGTAATTCAACAGCAATAAATAAACCTGTTGGTATTTGCTTGATTTCATGTTCATTTGGAGTTATCAAAAGTATTGAGTTGTGATAATATAATATAATAATATAATATATAATAATAATAAATATATTATAAAATATAAATATAAATAAATTATAAATATATAAATATAAATATAAATAAATTATAATATAATATATAATAATAATATAATATAACTATATATATAATATAACTATTTTAACCACGTTTATATATGTTCATTAACTGAGACTTCAGCAAAGGGATGATAGAAATTCTTGTTTATTTTGTATCTTTGCAGAGCCACTATTACTAATAAACATTTTTGGTATTAGGAAGCATGATAAGATACTAATATTGTGTAGCCAATTCAGAATATATCAATAGTTTTTCTGTAGGAGTGAAGAATAATGAAAAAGACTGAGAACAATGTTCTATACTTTCAGGTGATTTTTTTAATCAAAATGTTTACGGTTTCCAATACTGCAAATAGAACCTACAAGAAAAGAGGATTTGGTTATGGCTACAACATGCAGTCTATTCTTAAGTAATTTTCCAAATCAAAATTATATGATGAATATCTGAGGGTTGGGGTTTTTTCCTTCTTATATCTTTTATGTAACATGAATCTGTCTCTTATACTAGAAATATATGAGATTAAAAGTTAGAATTGCAAAAAACTGTGGCATAACTCAGCACTAATGGTTCAAATATTTTTCTTAAAAGTCTTCTTGGCACCACATTGGTAATCAGGTAAAAACTGACAATAAGAAAAAAAAAATATATTAGATTGGCTATATTCCATCCCATTCATATGTCAAGTTACATATGTTTAAGATGAGTTTCATTTCTAAACTTAACCTAAAAATGAAATTTGTAAATCTGTCAGTTGCCAGACTAGTGCAGAAAGCTGTGCTAGTTCTGCTCTCCTTCCTTGCTACTGCCTTCCATTTGTGGGTTTTTTTTTTTTCCCCTTACCTCTTCCTTCAAGAAACACATTCTTGTTGTAGGGATTTCATTATGTTTCCTTTGAAAAGTTCCTAAGTTTTCATGAAGGCTAAGTAGAAACATAAGCTAAAAGAGAATGTAAGTTAATTCACAGAAGCCAAAGTTGCAAACTGACACCACAGTCCGCCAGTATGATCTGTTTGACACACTGTTTTAAAAACATTTGAATTTTTTGCCAAAAAAAAAAAAAAAAAGTGAATTAGGGTTTAAAATTCTGTAAATTTCACGTAGAAAATCTAGATCTAATGTTTCTCTTGGGAAAAATAGGAATATACAACACTACTAAACTACCATTCTCCCGTAGCAGTAACCTGCTGGAATTTAGAAACTGCTGCCACTTTTAAAAACTATTCATGTTGTTTGTTTCACTTATTAATGTTCTCAGCCTAAATCTTGTAGGCATTTGAATTTGCAACTCCTACTCCAGAAAGTAAATGCATAATCATTTTAGAGTTTGTTAAGCATGGTAATAGGCTTAACATGTTTTATCACCTGTAACTGTTAATCAGCCCTTTAGTTGAAGGGTATATATTGCATTGTGGTATTTCTATTTTAAATACTTAGTCACTTATTTCTTGCAACATTGACTTTTTGATTAGTAATATAGTTTAAAAAATTGAAGTTGAAAGTAGAGAAAGGAAAAATTAGATCAAAATATTTTGTCTTTTTACGTGGCAATGATAAAATAATTTGAAAAAGAAATTACTTATGTATACAAAAGATTCTTCCTTTCTATTTATCCTTTTTAAATTAGGTGGGTTTGGAGGATTTGGGACAACATCTACAACAGCAGGTTCTGCATTCAGCTTTTCTGCTCCAGCTAACACAGGCACTACTGGTAAGAGGATATCTTAAGTCATTTGTAGAAGTGAATGAGCTAGAGATCAGATTTTTTTTTTAACTTAGGCAATTTACATTTTTCCTTCAAAGGACTCTTCGGTGGTACTCAGAACAAAGGTTTTGGCTTTGGTACTGGTTTTGGCACAACTGGAAGTAGTACTGGTTTAGGTACTGGTTTGGGAACTGGACTGGGATTTGGAGGATTTAATACACAGCAGCAGCAACAGCAAACTAGTAAGTATAAGAGGCCTTCGTCTTACTTCAAATATAAAACTGTAACATATAGCTAACATTGAGTGCACTGTTCAAAACACTTTAATGGATCTCTTTTTTTGAAGATTTATCAATATTATGTTCCACAAGACTCCAAAAGCTAATTCTCATGTTTATATATGATGATAGCAACTGGGGAGAAGAGTGATTGGCAGGATCAGGATTATAAAGTCTCTGTGTGTAATAGCATTCCATTTAAATTTTCCTTGTTGCTAAAAGTAACACAAAAAAGAAAACTGCACAAAAGTACACCCTAATGAATTATATCAAGGTGAACACCCTTGTAACCACTGCCTATGTCAGGAGGTGGTCTCTGGCCAGCCACTTGAGAAGCCCTCCACACTGTGCTCACAGTCACTTCCCTATCAGAGGAACTATAGTCCTCTTTCATGGTGATCTGTTCTTTACTTTATAGTTCTGTCATGTAAGTGTGTAAGCATTATTGTTTAGTTTTATTTGTCTTAAAACTTTGTAAGTTCCCCTGTTAGCCCTCTTTTTTTTTTGTTTTTCCAGTTTGTTAAAGAAATGAGATACTTGTCATACAGAATTTTTCAAGTCAGGACTTTACTGGATTGTATTCCTGTGGTATAGTTTAACGTATTTCGTTGTCTTCTCTGTTTCTTGTAAATTGGGTTGGATGTAGGTACCTATTTATGTTGATAGTTCAGTTTTTTGTTGGGTTGCAAGACTATAGGTCGTATTGCATTCTTTATCAAGAGGTATATAATGTCAGTCATGTCTATTCTTTGTCGTGTTAGCAGCAGCCATTGGTGATCATTACTTCGATCCATTAATTTATCAGGAGTTGCAAAATGGTATTACTCTGACTGTGACTTTTTTCCCATGTATTTGTTGGAATACTTTTATAAAGAGAAACTTTATCTACTATTTGGTGATTCTTTCCATATTTATAATTAGTTTTCAAAATAAAGAGTTGGTTCTCTATGATTCTCCAAAGGAGACCAATTAATTTTTATTTAATGTTAGGAACTTAAGTATTTCGGCTATTTGGTATTTTTTTAATCTGTTGCAGTTATTATCCTTATTGATACTTAAATTGTTCCATTTTTAGCCAAAGATACAAGCCTCTTCAGGTTGGCTTCCAAGTCCTTTGACACAAGCTTAGAATTAGTCTTTGATAGCTTCCTTACTAGCTGATATGGCAGTATGCTCCAGGGTTATCTTGTATGGGTTAATTTATTTAATTCTCACAAGAACTCTATGAAATAGTACTCTTCTTGTCTCCATTTTATAGGTGAAGAGAGGAAACTGAGAGATTGTGACTCTTCCATAGACCTCCCAAGATGTAGGATAGAAACATACATTCAAGTTCTTTGACTTCCTATGTAATGCTCTTTTCACTTTTCCAGTCTGCTACCTCTTAAAATCACTTTCATTTCATTGTTCTGAGGTAACTTGATTGATTGGCTAAAATTCATCCTACTCAGTTATTGAAGATTATTAAACATGAATTTCAAGAATTGTCTGGCCAATAGGACAAAGAAAATAGAATAGTAGTCTCAATTCTTCTTTCTAGTATTTCAGTCATTTCTCTTTGTTGGAAATCCAAGTACTTTAGGAGAAGAAGGGGAAAGTGAACTTTTTTTTTTGTTTCTTGAAATAAAGTCTCTCCAATTCTCAGGTATCATAGTTACACTTTCATTAGGAAAAATGGGAAATTGAATTTGGTTTTATTCATTTGCAGAACAAAGGGGCTTATTCAGTTATTAGCATCCACTTACTGACTGTATGTTGTATGTCAGGCATTGGTGATATAAGGTTGAAAGCCACAATTTCCTGCTAATAGCCTACAAGGAGACAGAATAACAAATATTTAATTAGAATAATAAACACCCAGTTATACAGAATACATATGTAATGTGAAAGCACTAAAATGAACCCCTACAAGGTGTTGTGGAATACAAAAGAAGAGCTGAATCTTGAAAGAATTAGTTGGATAAATTCAGAAGAGGGTATTCCAAGTAGAGGGGATAACTGATAAAAGCATCATTGCATGGCATATCATAATGAATTTGGGACCTGCTGCCGTAAGGAGTTTTGAGTTTAATCTGCAAAGATTATGGAACTGTTGCCTTATTTTTAAAACCCCTGCTTGTATGAGATGCTTGCTGTCTGGTAATACTGTTGGTGATACGTCTAATCTCAGCTGCTGACTTCCTGGACAGTACCTCTTATTCATTGAAAACTTTGGCAACTGGCTGTTAGTCTTCCTTTTCTTTTCAACTTCTGTCTATCTGGGTTATTTAAACATCACATGGCTATATATTCAAACAGCCATGCCATCTACCTTTTATTCCAAAAACCTCTTCCATTTCTCTTCAACAATTCTTACCCTGGACCTTGGCAACATCTGAAAATGTTCTAATTTCAAAATCACTGGTGTGAACATCCCACAACCTATTGTTCTTTTAGCCTGCCTTTTTAAATACTTCGAATATAGCTGTTCCTAGACCTCATTAGGTCTTTAGATCAGTGATATTTTCATTTAGACCATTAGACCATTTAGACCATTTTCCATTCTTCCATCAGCTCCTTCTTGTCTTCACTAACCTCTCTAATTAGCTTAGATTCCATGTCCTTCCATTTCAGTCACTGGTTGCCAAATGCTAAACTTTGTCATTTTATCATGTGCCTGAGGAGGTAAAAAATCCCACGCGGGTGAAAGCCCAACTGTCCCTCCGGATACTGCTTGAGAAAAATCACACAGTACAAAAGATTGAATAGTACCTCTAAATTCTTAATCACTGACTTAAGTTGGGGCCTCAACATTGCCTGGTAATCCTTAGAAGTTTATTTAATTTATTCTCCCACCTTCTGTAACACTTAAACCTTTGTTCTCTTCAAATCTCAGATTTCTCTATTCTTATTTTTAGCAGATGGCCTTGATCTCCACTTCAGAAAGAAAATAAAATCCCTCATTCCAGTTCCTTCATTTTCCCACTACCAGATCTGTTTATCTTCCTCCCTCTATACTCATCCTTTTCCCTTTTCACCTGTGCTCTGGATCTCATTCTTCCAAGCGACCCTTCTACTGTTGATTATTCTTTCCAGCAACACCCCTCTCCCCAAAATAGTCTTCAAGTTCTCTCCCCAAAGATCCTTCTTATCCACATTTAAACAATCTGAAGTTTCTTTTTTCTTAAAACAGTAACCAACTTTAATCTCACATCACATCTTCATAAACTACATGAAATAGTTATGGAAAAGGGGATCCCCTTCTGTTGTCTTCTGTTACCTCTTAGCCCACAGTGATCTGGATTCTGTTTTCTTTACTCAAACAGATAAGATCATTAATCCTCTCAAATCCAATGAATACTTACTTTCTACTTAAATGAAAAATTTAACACACAAAAATAAGAGTAAAACGACCCCATAGTCTACTGAATAGATTCAGCAAGTCAGAATTTGCCATACTTGTTTTATCTCTCTCCTTGGCTCCCCCGCTTTTTTTTTTTTGATTGCTGAAGTATTTTAAAGCAAATCCCAAACATGTCCTTTCACCCTCACTTTACTGTGCTTCTCTCTTTAAAAACATGGACTTCATTCCAATTCACCATTAATAATTCCTTGGTATCATCTAATACCTAGTCCTTAATCACATTTCCCCATATGTTTCATTAAGGCTGGTTTATTCAAATCATGATCCACACAAGATCCCCACATTCATTTTCTTGTTATCATATCTCAAGTTCTTCTTTTTTTTTTTTTCTTAGAATGAGAAAGCGTGTAGGGGGTGAGGGAGGGAGAGGGTGAGAGAGAATCTTAAGCAGGCTCCATACCCAGTATGGATCCCGATGCGGAGCTGGATCTCACAATCCTGAGATCATGACCTGAGACGAAATCAAGGGTCGGACACAACCAACTGAGCCACCCAGGCGCCCCTCAAGTTTCTTTTTAGTATAGAGAGTTCCCCACTCCTTTTTTCCCCCCTCAAGAATTGTTGGAGAGACTGGGCCAGTTGTCCTGTGAAATGTCCCCAATTGGAGATTTGTTTGCTTATAGTATCATTTAACTTTATCCCCCATTTTTCTGGTAAATGAAGTTAGCTTTAGGTACTTTAGATTCAAGTTTGACTTTTTGCCATGGATACTTTGCCAGTTGTGCAGTGTACTTCATACTGCATCACATTAGAATGTGTATCCCTCTTTTGGTGATGCTGAGATTGATCAGTGGGCTCGGGGGGGGGGGGTGACAGCCAGTCTGTCTTATAAAGTTCCCCATCAGTCTTTAACTTAATGATTTCATTCATTGATGATCATTGCCTCAGTCAGTTATTTTATTAGGAGTTGCAAAATGGTGATTTCCTAACTCTGCCCTCCCTTCCACACTAAAACTATTCTGTAAAAGAAGTTTTTTTTTTATTAAAGATTTTATTTATTTATTTGACAGAGAGAGACACAGGAGAGAGGGAACACAAGCAGGGGGAGTGGGAGAGGGAGAAGCAGGCCCCCCGCGGAGCAGGGAGCCTGATGCGGTGCCTGATCCCAGGACCCCAGGATCACGACCCGAGCTGAAGGCAGACGCCCAACGACTGAGCCACCCAGGCGCCCCTAAACATTACATATTTATTTTAAAAGGAAGATTTGTATTACTGCTATAAATTTTGGAAAGCCAGTATCATCTGTAAAGATAGGATAACTGAAATTAAGCACACAGAAAATGTAATAGTGTTAATAGATTCTAGCTAATACTTTTGCCTTAAGCTCTGAGCCTTAGACTTCTGCTTTCCTTTGGTAAAATGTGAGATAAGCAGGTGTTGTGAGTCATTAAAGGCAGACTAGTACCAAACTGAGACTTTTAAAATATATTATCAGATAATTAAAAGATAACTTCTTGTTATGTGAATTAGTCTATTTAGTGGCTCAACTGTTCCCTGACAGCTATAATTTCATGTACTGGGGATACTTACTTAATCTCCCACTTTGGAGATACTGATCTAACAACTTTACCTTTTCTGTTGGAGAAATTGTAGCACAGAGAAGTTAAGTGACTTACCCAAAGCTACACGGCCTGCTAAAGCTTTTAGCTTAGAATCCTAATGATTAGTTCATTTGTTGTTCTTTTTACTATTTCTTTGTAGTAAGAGAAGGAAAAGTGATCAAGTTGATATTGATAAAACAATGATATAATGATGCTTTTTGCTGATTTTGTGTCCTCCAGTTTGTATTTATTACACACATGTAATAGTAATAAAGGTTTAAAAACCAATTCTGCAACTTCACAAACTTTACTTTTCCGTATCATATCCATATGCATTTTTTTTATGTGGGTCTAATATGAATCCAACTAGTGTACTGGTAATGGAATTACTTGTATTAAGATAATCATTAGAAAAGTTTAACATTATAAGGATTGTCCTAGTATATTAGTTTCCTAATGTTGCCCTAACAAAGTATCACAGACTTAGTATATTAAAACAATACAAATTTATTATCCTATAGTTCTGGAGATCAGAAATTCAGAAATGGGTTTCACTGGGCTAACATCAGGGTGTTGGCAGGGCCATGTTACTTCTTGAGGCTCTAAGGGAGAATCCATTCCCTGGCCTTATCCAGCTTTTAGTCTCTCTCCCCGCATTTTCTGGCTTGTAGCCAGCCCCTTCCTTCGTCTTCACATCTCACTTTGACTCTGACTTCCCGTTTCCCTCCTCAGGACCTTTATGATTGTGTTGAGCTCACTTAGTGATAATCCAGGATAGTCTGAACTCAATCTCTTAATTTCATCACATCTACAAAGTTTCTTCTGCTGTGTAAAGTAACATATTTACAGGTTCTGGGGATAGGATGTGGACATGATGGGGGGAAGGGGCATTATTCGGCCTACCATACCTAGGATCTGAATTGACGGATTTTTTTTTTTTTTTTTTTTTTTTAAATACTAACTACGGGGTACATTTCTAGCATTAGGTGGTCTCTTCAGTCAGCCCACACAAGCTCCTACACAGTCCAGCCAGCTGATAAATACTGCAAGTGCTCTTTCTGCTCCAACGCTGTTGGGAGATGAGAGGGATGCTATTTTAGCAAAATGGAATCAGCTGCAGGCCTTTTGGGGCACAGGAAAAGGATATTTCAACAATAACATTCCACCAGTGGAATTCACACAAGAAAATCCCTTTTGCCGATTTAAGGTATTAGTATTTCTTTTGATCCTCACTTGAAGAGTGTGTGTAAGAGAGAATGTGATATTTGGATTAAAATACGAAGGAAACAATTGCTTGGTCTTTAGTACTCCTTGAATATGGTACAATTATACTTTTGTTTTAAAGATACAGAAGTTATTAAATTGAAGTGATTTCTTACATATATGTGATTGAAGGTGACCAGAGTATGAATGAAGGAAGGTATGATCAGAATGTAATTTAAAACTGAGGAAAAAATGTTAACGAAAGGGGAGTGGTCTGCTTGGCATCTATAAAATGGAGACCCAAAACTAAATTTGGTGATACTCATGTAACATTGTCCAGGAATGTATACCCCAGCCAGCAGACAGACTGTATGTGCTGTTTGGCATGTATAATTCTGTTGTCAACTATTATAACTGGATGCTAAAGCCATTAAAACAGTATAATCTTTTTCTTTCTAATTCCATGCCTACCAAACAACCTTCTCATTTGAATTTGGCTTCTCAGAGATTGTCTCATCAGCCAGTGAGAGTATTTAGGTCAATTCGATGGCATATTTTTAATAACTAATGTATTGCAATCCAGTTTATACTTCAGCTACTTTTTTTTTTTAAGACGTATTTAATAATTTTCTAGAGAGAGTGCATGTGTGCGGGGGGCAGAGGGAACAAGAGAATCCCAAGCAGATTCTCTGAGTACGGTGGAGCCTGACTTGGGGCTGGATCCCACGACCCTAAGATCCTGACCTGAGCCAAAACCAGGAGTCAGACACTCAACCAACTGAGCCACCTAGGCACCCCAGCCACATTTCAGTGGCAAAAAAAACAACAACACTTTTTGTTGCCTGTGTCAGTCTCTAATCAATATGTATGTAAGCTTGTGTTTGGAGCTGCAAGGCTGAGGATCAGACCCTTCTCAACATGGTTAAACAACAAAAAGTGACTAGCTTATCTTACTAAAGAACATCTATCTCCTCACTCTAATAAAAAGAATTTTTAAGTGTTTATAGTTGAAATTTTATACTTTTGTTTAGTGACTAAGAGCTATACAGTGGACATAGGTTGAATAGAACTTCTTTTTTAAGTTGATATATAACATACATATGATAAAATGAGAACTAGAATTCTTTTTTAAAAGGTGGATTATTGGGCTCCTGGGTAGCTCAGTTAGTTAAGCATCTGACTCTTGATTTTGGCTCAGGTCATGATCTTAGAGTCGTGGGATCCAACCTTGTATAGGGCTCTTTGCTCAGTGGGGAGTCTGCTGGAGATTCCCTCTGTCCTTCTCCCCTTACCCCTCCCCCCCCAAATAAATCTTTTTTAAAAAGTTGCATTATAAGTGATGACAAAAGAAAAGGCTTCTGTCTAAAAGAGTAATTCCTTAGAAATTTGTCATATTTAATATTATGTTAAAAACTAACATGCTTTGTAAAGTTTTATATTACATGGAACCATAAAATGATGTAGACATTCTTTATAGTATTTTAAGTTTGACAGTGTTATTCTACTTTAAAAGTATTTATATTTAGAAAAAAGTATAGTAATCATATCTTCGTATATCTAAAACTTAGTTTAACATTCTGTAAGTCAGTATAGTAAAATAAATTAGGTCCTGGTCCATGACTTTTGCAGTCATTTTTATAATGACATGCAGAATTGTTTCATCAGAATTCAGAAACACCCAGCAATAATGAATATCAAAGTTTTTTAGAGGAGAAGGCTATTTGGTTACTCTGTTGAAGAGAAAATTTTAATTTCACTGTAAGTTTATATTATTCTTGGGTAAAGTAGTTTCTCTTTATACTTGTGATGACCTAGGGCACAGAGTGGTGGGAAGAATAATTATTTCCTTCATTAGCAGACATTAAGCTGTTTTCCTTGTTTTAGCAGATATTTAACGTATTAATATTAAACATCTGATGTAAAATCTGTACATAGTTTTGATATTGTTTTTGTCATTCTACAGGCAGTAGGATATAGTTGTATGCCCAATAATAAAGATGAAGATGGGCTAGTGGTTTTAGTTTTCAACAAAAAAGAAACAGATATTCGAAGCCAACAACAGCAGTTGGTAGAATCATTACACAAAGTTTTGGGAGGAAACCAGACCCTTACTGTAAATGTAGAGGGTATTAAAACATTGCCAGATGATCAGTAAGTATACATTAAATACACCATTTATTTCTGTGCACCTTGGTCCAAAGAGAGTGATCCAATAGCGTTTTTGTTGATAAAGCACAAATTAAATCTTAGAATGTTATTACTCAGCTAGTGATTATTCAGTATTTATAACATTTGTTTAAAAGCATTTTTCTTAATCTTGGAGTTATTTTATTTTATATTTATTTATTTTTCAGAGGCGGGAGGGACAGAGTGAGGTAGGGAGAGAGAATTTTGCAGGCTCCACGCCCAGTGCGGAGGCCAGATGCGGGGCTTGATCTCGCAACCCTGAGATCATGACCTGAACCGAAATCAAAGAGTCGGACATTTAACTGAGCCACCCAGGCGCCCCTTAATCTTAGAGTTCTTAACTTACCAGATGCTAATAATTCCTTAGATTTTTCATTCAGAAACAGGAAGAAATGTTAATCATGGCTGTGTGTGCAAATCAAAGGCCACAAAGACGTTATTGGAAAGTTTTAACTGGTTACTGTTCATGCTCATTCATGGATAATAACTATGACTCATTTACTTCTTATGTCTTCGTATAATTTTCATACTTAGTGGCAAAAGCATTTACTTTGGGATATGCTGGGTTAGAAGAATTATTATTAGTGAGGTATAATAACTGAGATCAGGTAAGCTTCAACAGAATCTCCAAAGTACTTCTCAATTCTGGAAAAGATAGTAACATTTACATAGGACTTTGCAGCGAAGCAAACCTTTTACAAATATTATATGTCTGTCTCATTTTATCATTCAAGTTGATTTACAAGTGAACATAAAGTAAGGGTTCCTTATTTTCCAAGATTTAAGAGAATACTATTTTCTAAAACAACAATTTCTGTATTCAGCTAGCATCTTTCTAAAATCACATGCTGCACTGATATGAGTTGTAGCTATGAGTTGTGTGCTCTTTTATAACTTGGTTATTTTTCCCCCAGGACAGAAGTTGTCATTTATGTTGTTGAGCGTTCTCCAAATGGTACTTCAAGAAGAGTTCCAGCTACAACACTGTATGCCCATTTTGAACAAACTAATATAAAAACACAGTTGCAGCAACTTGGTGTAACCCTTTCTATGACTAGAACTGAACTTTCTCCTGCACAAATCAAACAACTTTTACAGAATCCTCCTGCTGGTATGTTTTTAGTCACAGAGTTGAGGAAATGAAAGATTTAGAAATATATATGCTTCCTCTATTTTGGGAGGTATTAGTTGGTTATTAATAAAACTAGTGTCTATCATGTCGGCTAATTTGGGACAAAGTTTTGAATGTTTTCATTGCATTTAGCTTTTTTATTCTATAGCTAATATGCTTGTTAGAAATGTTGGGAAATGACAAACTAAAGAAAAATAATCCATAATCCATCTACCCAAAGGTAATTCACTTTTAATATTTTTATTTTTTTCTAACTTGTGCTGAGCATTCAAGTAAAACCTAAATAAATGTGTTCTCACCAAAAAAGATTGTAAATGGCATAACTAGATTGACTGTATTACAGATCCTCTTTATCTCCTTTCCACAGAAATAGCTACTACTAATAATTTATTATACTCTATTAGTCCCTTATCTGTGATTTTAATATGGCATATGTACATGGAAATCCTTAAAAGGATTTTGCATTGTACGTTTACTGCAACTTGCCTTTTCTTTTCTTTTTTTTTTTTTTTTTTTAAAGATTTTATTTGACAGAGAGAGATAGTGAGAGCAGGAACACAAGCAGGGGGAGTGGGAGAGGGAGAAGCAGGCCTCCCGCTGAGCAGGGAGCCCAATGCGGGGCTCGATCCCAGGACCCTGGAATCATGACCTGAGCCAAAGGCAGACGCTTAACGACTGAGCCACCCAGGCGCCCCTACAACTTGCCTTTTCAATTGTAGTATTTCATAGCACTTTCCATCCCACGACAGTACATGAAAGTAAATATTCTTTTTAAAAATCTACATGGAATACCATGGATGTACCTTACTTCACTTAACTTCTATGTTATTTCCACCTTTTCATTATTATAAACTATGCAACAATTAACATCCCTATAAATATGCCTTAGAACACGTGGATATGTATTTTAGAATAGATCTCTGGTAATGAAATTTTTGAGTTAAGATTATGTATATTTTATGTTTTGTTAGAGACTGCCAAATTGCTCTCCAAAGAAAGTTGTACACATTGTAACAGGAATGTCTTCTTTTTCTCATATTTCTTTTTTAATATTTTCTCATTTTGATCTTTTTTTGCCAGCAATGAGATTGTCAGTCTCTTTTAATTTTGCCATTCTGAATGCAAAAATCACTTACTTTCATTAGCATTTCCCTGATTTCTAGTCAGTTGAGCATCTTTTTATATGTTTATTAGCCATGTTTGTATCTTTTGTGAATTAACATCTCATGTTCTTTACCCATTTTCTATTAGATGTTTTTGTCTTCCTTTCTGATTTATAGGAGCTCTTTCTATATTCTGGAGGTTAATGTATTATCCTATAGATTGTAGGTATTTCCCTTCAGTCTATAACTCTTTTTTTAAGCTTATCCTGCAAAAATTTTCATTTTTGTAGTGGTCATATTGAATAGTCATTTTTCATTACAGCTTCTTTAGGAAGGCCTCTCCCATACAAATATTATAAAAACAGAATAGTTTTTTTCAGAAAACATATTTCTTCTTTTTGGTAGGTGTTGATCCTATTATCTGGGAACAAGCCAAGGTGGATAACCCTGATTCTGAAAAGTAAGTATACCTTCATCTTATTTTCATGTAAGGACTAAAATTTGCTAAAGAATGTTGACCCCTGGCTGGTTCAGTTGGTAGAGCATGGAACTCTTGATCTCAGGGCCATAAGTTCAAGTCCCATGTTGGGCCTGGGAGCCTACTTAAAAAAAAAAAAAAAAAAAAATGTTGACTGATAAGGCCATATAATATGGTGAAAACCTTGACATCTGAGTATCACTCCCCTAATTATACTTGCCTTTAAAAGTACAATTTTTGACTGAACTTTATTTCCTCATTTGTAAAATAAAGTTGAATAAAATCTGATTTAACACTGTTGATTTCATAGTCATTGATCTGCCTTTGAACCCTAGAAATTTATTGTGAAATTACATGAATGTTATTATGAAAAACCCTAATTTCTTATACTTTGTAATAATAGTAAAAGGCTTAAGGTCTGATAATTGACCACTTGGATTTCTTCAGGTTAATTCCTGTACCCATGGTGGGTTTCAAAGAACTTCTTCGAAGACTGAAGGTTCAAGATCAGATGACTAAGCAGCATCAGACCAGATTAGATGTAAGCATTTAGCTTCATTCTCTGCCTCTGGGAATAGTAAAAAGAGATTACAGACACTTCTTTTTACCATGTGGATTACTGTTATGTCTTAGAGGGAAACAGTATAGCGTTATGAGCAAATTAATAATTACAGTTTTGTGCAACTACTTAATATAGAGCCTCCAAAATCATGTAAATCTGATTTGGTATATTTTAACAAAGAATTTAGAATTGTTGGCTTAGCATTGCTATTAGGCTGTTATTTCCATTTCCAGCCAGGGAATGCATATTATTATTATTTGGCGGGGGGGGGGGTGTTCTCCTTTTTTATTTAAATTCAATTAATTAACATATAGTGTATTATTAATTTCTGAGGTAGAGTTCAGTGATTCATCAGTTGCATATAACACCCAGTGCTCATTCCATCAAGTGCCCTCCTTAGTGCTCCTCACCCAGTTACCCCATCCCCCCTCACCGGCCCTCCAGCAACACTGTTTCCTATAGTTAAAGAGTCTCTTATGGTTTGTGTCCCTCTCTGTTTTCATCTTACTTTATTTTTCCTGGGTTTGTTTCTTTTACTGAGCAGAATCATGCTGTATGTATTGTCCTTTGATGTGCTTGTTGGAGATGTTATCAGCCTAGCACACTCCTTTTATCCATTATATATTCCACAGAATTAGTGTCACTATTTGGGTTGCTTCATTCTGCTGTTATAATTATGCCCACTTTTGTGCACAACCCAGCACAGGGGCTGGAATTTGAGGGGAAGGTGTGTTGACTTGGCATTGAGCAGGTGGCAGGCTGTGCATGCTGACTCTTGCAGGAGGGCGGCTAGACTGTGAATTTGGGACCCACAGGCCGATGGCATCCATGTGTGATGGGGACATGGCTGGTTTTGCTTTTAACTTTTATTTTTCTGGGAAACTATCTCTCTTTCTATTCTGAATGAAAGCCTTGCTGGATAGAGTATTCTTGGCTATAGATTTTTTCCTTTTAGCACTTGGAATTTATCATGCCACTCCCTTCTGGCCTGCAAAGTTTCTGTTGAAAAAACACACTGATAGCCGTATAGGGTTTCCCTTGTATGTCACTGCTTTCCTTTCTCTGCTGCTTTTAAAATTCTCTTTATCACTACTTTTGGCCATCTTATTTACTTTGTGTCTGGGTGCAGACCTCTTTGGGTTGGTTTTGTTGGGGGCTGTCTGTGCCTCCTGGATCTGGATTTCTCTTTCCTTCCCCAGATTCAGGAAGTTTTCAGCTATTATTTCTTCAGACAAATCTGCCACCTTTTCTCGCTCTTCTCCTTCTGGGGTCCCTATCATGCGACTGTTATGCTTGGCAGTGTCACTGAGTTCCCTGGGTCTGTTCTCATTTTGCATATTTTTCCCCTCTCATCCTCTCAGCTTACTTTCCATTACTCTGTCCTCCAGGTAGCTGATCCGTTCTTCTACTTCTCTTGTTTTCTGTTTATTCCAGGTGGTCTATTTTTATTTCCATCTAGTGAGTCCAATAGCTCTAATTGGTTCTTTTTTGTATCTCCTATCTCTTGGTGGAGGGTCTCATGGAGGTCCTGCACTCCTTTCTCAATTCTAGTGCGTATCTTTATGAGCATTACTTTAAATTCTCTATCAGACATATTACTTATCTCCATTTTATTTAGGTCTCTTGCTGTGATTTTGTTCCACTCTTTCATTTGGGACATACTCCTCTGTTTCCTCATTCTGTCTATTGCTGTGTCTGTTTCTGTGTGTTAGGAAAGACACCTACATCTCCCGCACTTGAAAGTAGTGGCTTTAGGAAGAAGAGGTCCTGCAGCGCAATGTTTCCTTTTCACCAGAAAATGGTGCTTCAGGGGTGTCTCCTATGTGTGTTGCTACAGGGGTGTCCTAGCGTTGTGGCGGAGCTGTGTTTGCCTTTAGTCCGGTCTAAAGTGGCTCTCTGCCTGTTGTGGGCAGAATCCGGTGCCCGTGTTGTTAGTGGGCCGGTCCAGGGCTGCCTTGGGCTTGAGTTGAGTCAGACCAGGCGTTTGCCAGAGATGCAGGAGCACCTAACTGCAGGCACTGTCCTTGTGTAGTCCCCTGAGAAGCTTTTGTTGGTGGGTGGGGCCTGCAGTCAGACCCACTGCCTGCCCCCAGCACACTGCTGGGGTCACAGTCAGACTGGTGTGTGGTTATCTTCCCCTCTCCCTGGAGCAGGACTCACTGTGGAGTGGTGCTGGCCCTTGTCTGGGCCGTGCGCACACTGCCAGGCTTGTGGCACCACTTTGATGGGATTTTACTAAGAGCGATTGGAGGGGGTGGATTCGTTCTAGCCTCTTGTCTATGCCGGGCTGCAGAGAGTCTGTTCTGTCAGTTTTCGGGCTGCTTTCTGGGTTATTTATGCCGACGTGGGTGCTCTCTCGGTGGCCACGTGGCAAGAGGTGAGCCCAGGGTCCTCCTACTCTGCCATCTTCCTGCAGCCTCTCGCATATTATTTTCTTAAACACTTATTTATGAGGCCTTACCAAAATGAAGGTTATAGTTGTGATTCTTTTTGTTGGCATAGTTTAATTGTAGATTAATGAAGCACACTTAAATTATTGAATGCTTAAATCTACGTAATATCCTTAAAGGTTCTTAAAGGTAACCTCCAAATTCTTATGTGGAATTCCTGATAACATACTCATTCAGACTGAATAGTGAAAAGCTTACTGCTTTATTTATTTATTTTTAACAGAACAAAACCCCTGTTCTTTTTTTTTTTTTTTTTTAAGATTTTATTTATTTATTTGACAGAGACACAGCGAGAGAGGGAACACAAGCAGGGGGAGTGGGAGAGGGAGAAGCAGGGTTCCTGCCGAGCGGAGAGCCCAACGCGGGGCTCGATCCCAGGACCCCGGGATCATGACCTGAGCCGAAGGCAGACGCTTAACGACTGAGCCACCCAGGCGCCCCAGCTTACTGCTTTATAAGCAACCCATTTCATTGTCAGCTAACTAATTGATACAAATTCTCTTATTTACATTGATCCAGTATCTGCCTTGGTATAACTTACACCCATTTTCTCTGGCATTGATTTGTAGGTGATCACTGTGCTTCCTATGACAGCATTACAGATATTTGAACATCGTAATCATTTCTTCCTTTTTATTATTCTCTTTTTTGGCTATAAACTTAAGCATGGTTTTTCATGTGACATGATTTCCAGAGCCTTCATTATCTTGGGCTGGACACATTGGATTTATCAGCATCATTTTTAAAATGAGTTGCCACAGTACTATAAATTGGGTATGACCAAAGTTCTTCAAAATAAGACCAAAGAAGCTATTACCTCTCTTTATTTTTGTTAGTCTTAGTAGAGGTTTGTCAATTTTGTTGATCTTATCAAAGAACCAAGTTTTTGGTCTCATTACTTTTGTCTCTAGTATTCTGTTTATAATTTCATTTGTTTTTAACCATTTTCTTTGTTCTGCTTGCTTTGGGTTTATTTTTTTCTTTTTCTGGTTCCTTTAGGTAGCAGCTTTAGGTTATTGAGACTTTTTTTTTCCTTCTAAGCACTGCTTTAAATCCCACAGATTTTGATAATGTCTTATTTTCATTTTTGATACATTCAAAATACTTTCTAATTTCTTTTTTTTTTTAAGATTTTATTTATTTTTTAGAGAGCGAGCGAGAGAGAAACAGCATGAGAGGGGTGAGGGTCAGAGGGAGAAGCAGGCTCCCCACTGAGCTGGGAGCCCGATATGAGACTCGATCCCAGGACCCTGGGATCATGACCTGAGCCAAAAGCAGACGCTTAACCATCTGAGCCACCCAGGCGCCCAATATTTTCTAATTTCACTTGAGAGTTCTGTTGAATTTTTTTGACTAACAGATTATTTAGAAGTATGCTTCATTTCCACATGTTCGGAGATTTTCCTTTTACTCTCTTGTTGATATCTAGTCTAGTTCTATTATGGTCAGAGAACTTTGTATAATTTCAATTATTTTAAGGTTTTTAACCCACATGCCTTTGAAAAGAATGTGGAGAATGCTGTTCTTGGGTGGAGTTTTCTTTTAGTGTCAGTGAGATCTGGTTGGTAGATTGTTCAAGTTCTTTATTCTTGTTGATTTTTGTGTTTACTAGTTCTGAGAGGAGAATTGGGAGTCTCCAGCTACAGTTGTGGATTTGTCTTTTTCTTTCAGTTCTGTCAGTTTTTGTTTCCTGTATTTTGAAGATCTGTTTCCTCTTTTCTGCCGCCTTTTGGGTTTTTTTGGACACTTTTTAGCATTCTGTTTTTAATTTACTGTCCTTTCAACAATTTTTTTTTGATTGCCATAGGGCATCTCTCAGTGGGGGTGGGCGTTGTGTTTTGTCCCCAGGGCACATTTGGCAACGTCTAGGGACTTGTCTGGTTGTTAGAACTGGGGGAGTGCTACAGGCATCTATTGAGTAGAGGCAAGGATGCTGATAAACATCCTAGTGTGTGCAGAACAGTGCCTCTGCAACAATTATCACGCCCAAATTAATAACAGTAGTCCCCTCTTATCCACGGTTTCACTTTCCGTGGTTTCAGTTACCGCGGTCAACCACTATCTGGAACCCCTATCAGAAGGACAGTAGTAGCCTAGTGCTATGTCACAATGTCTAGGTCATTCACTTCGATTCATCTTATCGGGTAGGCATTTTATCATCTCACATCATAACAGTGGTGAGTACAGTACAGTAAGATTTTGAGAGACCACATTCATATAACTTTTATTACAGTATAATTCTATTGTGTTAATTTCTTAATGTGCCTCATTTATAAATGAGGCTTTATCATATGTATGTCTGTATAGGAAAAAACATAATATAAGGCTTGGTACTATCCATGGTTTCAGGCATCCATTGGGGGTAGTAAAACATATCCCTCATGGATGAGGAAGGACTGCTATAGTACTGGAGTTGAGGAAACCTTTTCTAGATATTACAATGTATCTCCTAACATCAGTGTTAATACAGACTTTTCTTGGAGCTGTAAGCATGATGCTCACTTCAGTTTTGGGCTTTGTTGAACCCAGAGTGGGGTATGCCAGAGGTTGGGGACAGTGGTAACTCACCACCAGTTCAGTGGTACTTCAAATTCATGTCTTCTTCCCCAATCCTCTTGCCACTATTTTTCAGAGTCCTCAAATAGTTGCCCATGCATTCAAGTTTTATAGCTATATTCAGTAGGAGAGAGAAAGTAGCATATACTTAAGTCCATCTTGTCCAAAATCAAAATTGTTCCTATCTTTTGCTAGTTTTTCTGTTGCACTTAACTTTTCTTTACTGAATTTCAGGAGTTCACCATTACTCTGGATTTTAATCTCTAGTCTGATTATATTGTTCAGATATCTCCTCCTTTCTCATCTCTCTGCCAACTCTGCAGTGTCCTTAGTTGAACAGAAAACTTTAATGTAATAATATCCACTAGTATCTTGCCCTGGTTTCTTCTTGGGAATTTGCTCAAGAAATCATTCCTTACCCCAAGTTCTGAGAGTCTCCTACATTTTTTTTCCCTAATATTTTAGAGCTTAACCTTCCACATTGGGGTCTTCTATCCTCATGGAGTTCCAAGTTTGCACAATAAGTGGTATGAACCCAACCTTGTTTTTCTCTAGTGGGTCAGATTTTCCAATGTCGTCCATAAATAACATCCAGTGTTATTTTCCCCCAATGATTTATCAAAGCATTTATGCTATCAGGTCACCATATGTGCATATATATATATGATGTATTCTGTTCTTTAATCAGTGGCTTTGTAGTGTATTTCAGCATGTGATACAGTGAATCTGATTCGTCTTTCACAGTTGTGGCATCTTTATAGATCTTTACTGTTCTATTAACAGTATTATAATCAGTTTGTCAAAATGCTAGAATTTAGGGGCGCCTGGGTGGCTCAGTCGTTGGGCGTCTGCCTTCGGCTCAGGTCATGATCCCAGGTCCTGGGATCAAGCCCCGCCCGCATCGGGCTCCCTGCTCAGCGGGAAGCCTGCTTCTCCCTCTGCCTCTGCCCCTGCTTGTGTTCCCTCTCTCGCTGTGTCTGTCAAATAAATAAAATTAAAAAAAAAACAAAAAACAAAAAAAACCTAGAATTTTAGTTGGAATTGCATTAAACATTATTTGTAGAGAATTGAATCTTCATAAATTATTCCATCATGAACATGTTACATTTCTTTACTCATTGAGGTCTTTACTCATTGAGGTACTGTCCTTTGAAACAATTTTAAATACTTTATTTTTATTATGTTAGTCACCATACAGTACATCATTAGTTTTTGATGTAGTGTTCCATGATTCATTGTTTGCATATAACACCCAGTGCTCCATGCAATACGTGCCCTCCTTAATACCCATCACTGGGTAACCCATCCCCCCACCCCCTCCCCTCTAAAACCCTCAGTTTGATTCCCACAGTCTATAGTCTATCATGGTTCGTCTCCCCCCCTGATTTCCTTAAAAACCTTGTGCATTCTTCCTTGGGTTAATTCCTAGATTTATAGTGTTTGTGAGTAAATACTGAATGGTAACATTTCCATTTTTTCTTAGTTACTGCTGGTTTAGAAGACCACTCTATAGTCTTTCGTGTCTGGAAGCCTGCCAACTCCTCAAAACTGGGGGGGGGGGCGGGGGGGAGTACCTAGGTTACATAGTATAAAACATGGCTACCTACTTTTGTTCCTTCAGCATGACCTGTCACTGGAAAGTTTCCTTAAAAGGTGACATGTCCAGGTGGACACAACTAAAATATGTCTTGCACAGTCTTCTTACCCTCTTTCTTGTAACCTCTTAATATAGCCAATGCCAAAGAATGATTAATTATGATAGGAACAATTATGGGATTAATTCAGGTTGGGTAGCTTTAGTGAAATTAGATTTAACTCCCACCTGTAAGGTTAAGACTTCATAAGGCAGAACAGTATGCTTTCAGGCCAGGCAAAGAGCAAATACAAGATGCAGAGGCATAAAAACGTATTTGGTTGTATGATTAATATCCTTCCTTTCCCCCTACACTCTGATCAGTCCCTCTCAAGTATTCTGCAGCAGTTCATATTGGACTATACTATCCAGAAGTAGTTAGATTTAATTGTCTATTAATGCCACTCCTGGATGTCACTATAGCTATTGACTTTTTCCATTCATGGGCTGGTTGTTAATATTACTAAAAATTTCTTATTTCTGAAGTATATGTTTTATCTGTGCACTTTGCCTCATCACTAAATTTCCTAGAGCTCTTAAACCTTTGAGTGGTACTTTTTAATTTTTAGATGCACAAAGGGGAAGAAATATAAGGCAGATTTAAAGAGTTTATATTTTGAGAGATGAATCTATCTCATTTTAGAATTAGACTTTGCATATAGATAAACCTGATAAATATTTGTGATGTCTATACTTACCTTCAAAACTTTCTTTTAAAAAACAGATCATATCTGAAGATATTAGTGAATTACAGAAGAATCAAACTACAACTATGGCCAAAATTGCACAATATAAGAGGAAACTCATGGACCTTTCCCATAGAACCTTACAGGTAGTAATTTGGAAAAATTTTTTGAATAGTTTTAAGACGGTATGTGGGACAGTGCTTAATAGAGATTTTTTTGGAATAGAGAAAAACATACTGAAAGGAAGTAATAGTAACTTGAAACTGAAAGTACCGAACTTCCTCAGTAAAACTTGGAAGATGGAGGAGAGGTCTCACAGGAGTGGGTGAAGAAAGTAAATATATTCTAAAATTCACAACTTATTGAGAGGGTAGAAGCAGTGAAGAAATAAATCATCTTGGTGCAAAGAAAGCCTGTATCAGATCACTAACATCCAGTTTTCATAAAAGTAGTAGAAAAAAAATACTTGATTTTTCAGTGCTAGAAAAGGGAGTATAACCATTAATGAAAACAATAGGATGAAAAACAAGAGAACTTCAAAATTAACAGAGGGAATAAAAGCATGAACAGCAACAAAAATTGAAATTATAAACAATCATGAAGACAGAACCATTACCTGTCAGAATCCGTGGAATACAGCAAGAGCTGTAGGCAGAGTAAAATTTATAGCCTTTAAGCCTTCTTTTTAAAATACAAATGCAAAAAATAAGGAACCTAGTACTCATGAAGTTAGAAAGACTATCAAGAGAAGCCAGTAAGAGAGAAATAAAGATATGAAATGAGTGAAACAAGAAAATTAATCATAGTACAGAAAATAAATTGAAAGCTATTTCTTTGAAAAGGTCTTTTAAAATAGCTAAATATAAGTCTGAAGGAAGAAAAGAAAAATTAGTAGTGAGAAAGGAAACATTACTATAGATAACAGAACAGAATGGGAAAATACTTCATGAAATTCAGGGCAACAAATTTGGGAGCTAGAGAAAATAGCTTAATTTTGCTGATTTTATTTTTGCTAAAAAATCATCTACAAGAGACGCAAAAATCTTAAATAGACAAATACTACAGAAACAATTGAGAAACTTAATAAATATCAACCATGGAAAAATACCAAGGCCAGATAGTTTAATTGCTGAACTTCGTCTAACCACTAAAGAGCTATTTCCAAAGTTGTTATTCTAAATAAAAGGAAAAATATATAGACCATCTCCCTGTTTTTTAAAATCACTTTGAGATAAAATTCACCAGCCATACAATACACCCATTTAAAGTATACAGTTCAGTGGTTTTTAGTATATTTAGTCTGTGCAACATGGCCACAATCAATTTTTGAACCTTTTCATCACCCCAAAAAGAAACTCCATCCCTATTAGCAGTCACTCCCCATTTCATCCCAAACCCCCCAGCCCTAGGCAACCACTTTCTGTCTCTATGGATTTGCCTCTTCTGGACACTTCATATAAATGGAATCATGAGATGTGGTCTTTTGTGACTGGCTTCTTTCATGTAGCATAGTGTTTTCAAGGTTCATCTGTGTTGTAGCATGTAATAATACTTTTTATTGCTGAATAATATTCTGTTATATGAACATACCACATTTTTAATCTATTCATCAATTGATAAACATTTTGGTTGTTTCCACTGTTTGGTTATTATGAATGTTGCTTTTAACATTTGTGTACAAATGTATGGATGTGTGCTTTCATTTTCTTGGGTACATAAACCTAGGATTGGAATTGCTTGATCATATGGTAACTCTATGTTTAACGTTTTGAAGAACTGCTAAAAACTGTTTTCCAGAGCAGCCACACTATTTTACATCTGTTTTTAGTACCCCAAAATAAAAATCTATTAACAGAAACTTCTAATAAATAAGAGATACAAATTATGCTACGTGAAAGCAGCCAGATTTAAAGGCTACATATGACATAATTCTGTTTTTATGATGTTATGCAAAAAACAAAACTAGAGACAGATAACAGATCCATAGTTGCAAGGGGCAGGTAGTCAGGGGAGAGGAGTGACTACAAGGAGTAAATGGAAATGATCTGTACCTTGATTGTGGTGATGGTAACATGATTTTATCAAGATTCATGGTAACTGTACACCTAAAATGGGTGGATTTTGTTATATGTGGATCATACCTCAATAAATATGACCAAAACAACAGAAGTGCAGTAGTTTTAAATGAAATATAAGCAAAAAGATTAGAACTATTTATCAAATCCTATAAGAATATACTGTGACTAAGTAAGGTTTATTTCAGGAATGCAGGGTTTTATAACAGGAAATCTATCAGCATATAATTTATCATGATCAACACATTAAAGAAAAAAATACAATAAAGACTTTAGCAAAAATTCAAAGAAGCAAAGCACTAAAATCACATTTCAGAAATACTCAATATTATTAAGTGTTATCTTGGAGGTTTTCATAAATATAATGAATAGGTAAGTAAGTAACTTAACATAAACATTGGAAGAGATTTTCTTTTTGCTAATGACTTGATAGTGTATCTAGAAAACTCAAGGGGAAGAAAACATAGAATATAGTTGAGATGGCTAGATAGAAGATACATGTACAAAAACTAGCATTTCTTTATACTAGTAGTGGAATTAGGAAAATACTCCATTTACTGTGATGAAAAATTGTAAAATACTTAGGAATAAATTTATGAGGGAAGTAAAAAAATGTGAGATAAAGTCTTTACAAATAGACATATAAACCATATTCTTAGATGAGATTTACTATTCATTTAATAAGTTTAGAAAATACAACTTTTAAAGACTTGATTAAAATCTTTCAGTTCATAAAGAAGGGTAAGTGAGAATAGCTTTTGAGGGAACAAAATAGTGAAGGGGATTTGTCAGATTTTAGAATCTATTTTAAAGGTTCTGTAACAAATCAGTGTGGGATTGGCATAGAATTGGACAATAAAGATAATAGAACAGAATAGAGAATCCAGAAATAGATAAATAGATGCCAGTATATCTTAAAATTTAGTGTGACAGGGCGCCTGGGTGGCTCAGTTGGTTAAGCGACTGCCTTCGGCTCAGGTCATGATCCTGGAGTCCCGGGATCGAGTCCCGCATCGGGCTCCCTGCTCTGCAGGGAGTCTGCTCCTCTCTCTGACCCTCTCCCCTCTCATGTGCTCTCTGTCTCTCATTCTCTCTGTCTCAAATAAATAAATTAAAAAAAAAAAAAAAATTTAGTGTGACAAAGTGGTAGTATCTCAATTCAGTTGGTTTATTTAATAAATAATGCTAGAGTAACTGGCTATCTAGGGGAAAAAATGGACTGCTGTATTTTACCATAGACAAAAATAGGTGGATTAAAGAGATTTAACTCTAACAAATTTATGAAGCTACATGCACAGCCCTAGGGATTGGAGAGATTTTTGGCCAGAAAGCCAGGAACTGTAAAACAAAACTGGCTAAATAATTAGAAAATTTTCTGTAGCAAAAGGTACCAGAAGCCGTTTGTCAGTAGTCATGTGACAGATACCAGAAAAAGAAAATTGAATTTGCAAATGGCACTGATTATTCATATTATACAAAGAGATCCTTTAATTCTGACCAAAAAACCCAAGTGAAATATGGGTAAAGAATGTGTAAAGGCAGTTCACCAAAGAGCAAATGCAAAGTAGTTCTTCACTATTAAAAGATGCTCCTCGAAATAAGTCAAACAGAGAAAGACATGTATCATATGACCTCACTGATATGAGGAATTCTTAATCTCAGGAAACAAACTGAGGGTTGCTGGAGTGGGGGGTGGGGTGGGAGGGAGGGGGTGACTCGGTGATGGACACTGGGGAGGGTATGTGCTCTGGTAAGCGCTTTGAATTGTGCAAGACTGTTGAATCTCAGATCTGTACCTCTGAAACAAATAATGCAGTATATGTTAAGAAAAAAAAAAGGTAGCAGGAGGGGAAGAATGAAGGGGGGGAAATCGGAGGGGTAGACGAACCATGAGAGACGATGGACTCTGAAAAACAAACTGAGGGTTCTAGAGGGGAGGGGGGGTTGGGAGGATGGGTTAGCCTGGTGATGGGTATTGAGGAGGGCACATTCTGCATGGAGCACTGGGTGTTGTGCACAAACAGTGAATCATGGAACACTTCATCTAAAACTAATGATGTATGGGGATTAACATAAGAATAAAAAAAAAAGATGCTCCTTTAACTTTCAGGGAAGTGCAGATTAAAGAAAAAAATGTGGGTTCCATTTATACTCATTAGTTTGGGGAAAATTTAAACAACTTACTGATGATTGGTATGTGGGGAAAAGGATACTCTCATGTGGCTTATGAATCTAAATTGTTTGTGAAACAATTTAGGAGCTTCTGTTAGACTGAAAACATGCTTTTAAATCCAGCAGTTTCATTCTTGGCCGGGGGGGGGGGGGGGCGGGTTCTGTATCAGCGAATCTATCTATCTATAAATGTTTATTACAGTATTTATAATATCAAAACTAGAAACAAAATATATACCCCTCAATAAGAGGAATAACTGAATAAATTATTGGTTATTAATGCATGAAAAATTACGCAGGCATTAAAAACAAATTAGAGGCATGTATCAATATACTAATGTAGACTGCCAAATAAAAATGGGCAAACCTAATTCAAATCTTGAACTCTTTTAAGATTCTCATCTGGTCTCTTTCAACAACTGACTGTAATAAAATTACATAACTAAAAAGAGAATCATGATTCTATTGGTATTGTTGATGGGTTTTCTTTATATAGGTCCTAATCAAACAGGAAATTCAGAGGAAGAGTGGGTATGCCATCCAAGCTGATGAAGAGCAACTGCGAGTTCAGCTAGATACAATTCAGTGTGAACTGAATGCACCTACCCAGTTTAAGGTAGGCATTTGTAAGACCATAAAGCTAGAATTTGCTAGTCTTCAAAAAGAGGAATTTTGTATACTGGTTTTTATTAAATATTTTGCTCTTTAATCAAAACTTCCCTTCTAAAGTAGACTTTTTTTTTTTTTTTTAAAGATTTTATTTATTTATCTGACAGAGAGAGAGAACAAGTAGGCAGAGAGACAGGCAGAGGGAGAGGGAGAAGCAGGCTGCCTGCTGAGCAGGGAGCCCGATGCGGGGCTCGATCCCAGGACCCTGGGATCATGACCCGAGCCGAAGGCAGACGCTTAACCGGCTGAGCCACCCAGGCGCCCCTAAAGTAGACTCTTAATGTTGTTTTTGGCTTGTGTTACTGTTTCACATAATGGACAGAGGGAGAATTAGGTAACTTTATTAGAGTAGTACCCATCCTTTTAAAAAAAAGAAAGATTCTCTTGGGCGCCTGGCTGGCTCAGTCAGTAAAGTGTCCGACTCTTCATTTTCAGCTCATGATCTCAGGGTCATGAGATCGAGCCCTGTGGCAGGCTCCCTGCTCAATGGGGAGTCTACTTGAGATTCTCTCCCTCTCCTTTTGCCCCCCCCAACACACACGTGCACACACACACTGTCTCAAATAAAGAAATCTTAAAAAAAAAAAACCAAAAACCTGTTGTTAGCAGTTGTAATTGGACTCGGTCTTATTTTTAGGGCCGACTAAATGAACTGATGTCCCAAATCAGGATGCAGAATCATTTCGGAGCAGTCAAATCTGAGGAAAGATACTACATCGATGCAGATCTGTTACGAGAAATCAAGCAGGTAAGTGCACTAGCACCTTTTAAAAAGGTGAATTCACTTCACATCCGTTAGGCTTGCTAATGCCCAAAAAAGAAACCTAAGAAGTTTGACAAGGATGTGAATAAAATAGGATCCTTATGCATTGCTGGTGACAATGTAAAATGGTGTGGCTGTGGAAAACAGTTAAAACAAAAAAATTAATCCTCTGTCTACCTGTATGATCAAAAAATTAAACCTCTGTCTACCTGTATGATCCAGCAGTTCTACTTCTGGATATATACCTAAAGAATTGAAAGCTGGGACTTAGATATTTGTACTTCTGTGTTCTTAGCATTATTCACAGTAGCCAAAATGTGGAAGCAACTCAAGTGTCCACAGATAGATGAATAAACTACATGCAGTATATATACATTGTGGAATATTATGCAGCCTTATTAAAAACAAAGGAAATTCTGACACTCACTACAACATGGATGAATCCTGAAAATGTTATGCCAAGTGAAATAAGCCAATTTTTATAAAAGGACACATATTGTATATAATTCCACTTAGCGGAGTACAGTTCACAGAACGGTGGTTGCCAGGGGAGGGGGAGCGGGGGATGAATATTAGATGAATACAGAATTGATTTGGGAAGATGAAAGTTCTAAAGTTATAGTGATTTTTGTGTAATGTGAATATACTTAATGCTACTGAACTGTACACTTTCAAGAACGGTTAAAATGAGTATTTCGATGTTTTGTATATTTTATAATATAAGACGAATTCAGTTAGTAGAGGCATAGAGGTCCCGAGACCCTGCTCTTCAATGGGCAGGTGGTAGTGGCGGCGGCAGCAGCACTTGAGAGGTCATTAGAAAGGCGTGTCAGTCCTTACTCTGTCCCTACTTAATCTGCATTTTATTTAAGGTCAGTGACTTGTATGTACATTGAAGTCTGAGAAGTAACTGCTGTACATCATATTCCCAGCCTGTATGCTACATATAAATTGTGAATATGTCCAGTTATGCGTCCCCTCAGGGGACCTGGCTAGAGGTTGGGGTGGCCAAAACCACTCCAACCACTTTTAGACTCATTTGGTTTGAAAAATTTGGAAAGTACTGCTCTAGCTTATTTCCTTTAGTATAGATACAGTTAGGTTTAATGAAAAATAACCGTTGACTGTATCTAAAGAGATCAGAATGGTAAATTTTATAGAACATCTTTGGTGGGACTGTCGGCATGGCCCTGAGGATTTTAGATGGTTATAATTATCATCCACAAATTCAATTTTATTATGTGCTTTAGAATGGATATTGTCATTTTATACAGTTAAAAGACCAGTTTGGCCCCTAGATTCTTGGGAACTTAGGTATACAGACACTTGATTATATCCCATTGTAAATATCTACAATAAAATGAGCTGAGAAAGATTTCAGCATATTGAGGTAAAGAGTTGTTAACTATATTAAAGAGTTTATGCAGTAAAATCTGGAATAACATAAACACCTACCTAAAACAATGAAAAGCAGTGTATTGTTTTGGGATTGAATCACATCTCATCACCTAGTTTAGGACCTCGAGCAAGTTTCTTACCTGCATCTCAATTTTTTTTATCTGTGGCACCAAAGGTTGCTTAAAAGAATATTAAATAACTTACTTAGTACCCACGAGGCTCTAAAAACTGCCTTAACACCTGGATACTTTAAAATGTCAGCAGTTGTAGTTACCACATTATCATTATTACATACTTTATACTTCAAAACCTGAAAATTCAGTTTACAGAATGATTATTTTGCTAGTCCTCTATATTCGGGTACCTTCTTGCATTCCACTTTAATATAAAATCTGTATCTTCTGTAAAATTTCTGTTGAAGATATTCATTTGATTGTTTTTTACAGTATGTTATTATAGGTCATAGAAATGTGTTAGCAAAAGATGTAGTATGAATGTTTACGCATGTGCACTATATTTAGAGCAGCTGTTAAGTGCTGTATTGCTGGTGAAATAGTGAAAAGTCCTTATTCCTGTGGGTAACTTGCACTTTAATAGATTAACATATTAATCTATTTTTTTAATCCCTTCTAGCATTTGAAACAACAACAGGAAGGCCTTAGCCACTTGATTAGCATCATAAAAGATGACCTAGAAGATATAAAGTTGGTAGAACATGGATTGAATGAAACCATCCACATCAGAGGTGGTGTTTTCAGTTGACAGTTCGCAAACCTATGTTAAGGGTTTGTGAAATGTATCTTCTTGCTACATCAGACCTTCCTTAAGAAACTGATCACATGGAGGGAAAAAAAGGGAAAACAATCCTCTCCTGGCTTTTGAGGAGTTACTGACAAATTACTTTTCATCAAATCTGAAATGACGTCCACTTCACAGCTCTTCAGAGATAGCCTTTGAAAGATTTATACCTGAAAGCTGTTCTTTACTGTACAAGAGAAGTACATAATTACCAAAAATATGTACCATTGTACATTTTGACCACAGCATTCTTAAAACTAATCAGTGTTTAGTGATTATTCTCCATTGAGCCTGTGCTCTGCTTTCCATAGCAAGTAAATATGAAATACCTACTTTGCACATAACAAAATAAACTATAACTACTTGGCTGTTGGAGCTTTGTACTTCAGGATGTAAATGTACATCAGTTTTTATATATTTGTGAATTCATCTGTGGGAGGAGTAAAGGAAATCGAAGAGTATTTAAGGATTAATGTGGTTTTCTTTTCATTCTATAAAGATTTGAAAATATATTTTTATATTATTTTACTTATTTGGAATTCACAGAACACAAGTGATTAGGATATAACAAAATTACATTTTATCATTTTTGCAACTTTTTTTGTTTTTTAGGCCTTTTTATTTCTAAAAAAATAAATTGATTGTAATTACTTTTATATAATTCTGTCTGATGCTTTATTTGGCTATGGGAGAGTAACCATGTCCTCACAAGTATTAAATCATAATCACAATTCAAGAATTTCAGTCTTAAGTCTGATTTTTCCCTAAGTAAAATGTATCAATGCTGACATATTTTGACTAGCTTATGGCAGATAAAACTTACTTCAAGTACCATCTACAGTAAAGAATTCCCTAATATATCATTAGTATTTGAAAACAACTAGAAAATCTGAACTAGATCATGTGAAAGTGATTTTTGAACAATCAGAAATTTGACTACAGACTTCAAGCTAGCCTGCATGTTGGCCCCTCTAGTAATGCTTTAACTTGGCATTTCTGTATGATGCTTTGGCTTATAATGAGAGGTGTTTTGAGAAACAGGCCCATGAGTTTTGCCAGTGTGTTTATGGGGATGGTGATGAGTGTGATACATATCCAGAGGTCATCCTTTCAGATCCCACTGAAGGAATTTCTGTCCATTTGCAAACTAGGTAAAGTTGTATAAGAGACTGGGAATTTTAGAAATGATTCTAAGTTAGCTGCTAAAAGTTGGCAGCCACTTTTGCCAAGCTGGTGGCATGCAAACTTGTTAATACTCTCTTCCATCATACTTTCCTACTCAATTCGTTGCAATTCCAACCGTGCTGGAAGAGGAATTTCTTTCCTTGTGTTTTCTCCTTGGCCCAGAAAACAGGCAATCTCATTCTTCTCTTCCATGTAGCAGAGTATAGGAGGTGTTTCTGTCCTTCTATACACCCTCATACTAGGAAGAGAGTTGTTGACCTAACCGATGAGAAGTTTTACTCATTGAGCCATAAATGCTAGTGCACAGATTGCTAATCGTGCATGCCATGTTCACTTCTCTAGCCTTTCATTTTTTTGTGCTCTGATATTCTCAGGCTGCTAATTTCACAAGATAAATACTCCTAGGCAGGGTCCAGGGCCTGCCTTTTAAAGACTGACCCAGCCAGCCTCCTAAGTTTCAAACAATCCCACAGACTGCAGGTGTTAAGGCAGGCCCATCACCTCTGTTCATGTGGCCTTTTAGATAACGGGACTTGGTCAAAGTATAGCTGTGGTCAGAGTAAGTACGTGACAGTCAAGTTCTTGTGTAGGTGGGTAGGAAGGGGGAGGACCCACTTTGGCCTGAGGACTAAGTTGTACAGCACAATTTATAGTTCTGTGTTTAATCTTCAACTGGCTAACAGTTCTTGTGGCCATGAAGAAGAGAGGTAAACAGAACTGAAGCACACTGCGACTACAGGGAAGATGGTGGCATAGGAGGATCCTGGGCTCTCGTCCCCCGACAGACACTGAGGATGCAACTAACATGACGCAACGAACTCTGAAAATGACCTCAACAGTAACAGCACGGCTCTTCCACAGCTAGAGATATAAACACACACACACACTCAGAAGGGCAGGGGAGGCAAAGATGCAGTTAAGAATCAAATAGCATGGTGGTGACCCACAAGCGGGAGGGATACACAGGCATGGAGGTCTTCCCTGAGGAGGGGATCAGATCCCAAATAGGGTACTGCCAACCCTGGAGGTGTTCCTGGGAAGATGAGCCATAATAACATCTGGCTTTGAAAAATCAGCAGGACTTCTCACCAGGAGACACCGGGAGGGCAACAGGAAACGGAGACTCCACCCCCAAAGGGCCAGAGCCCTAAAAAACCGGGTTCGAGAACCAGCACCGAGGCAGCAGTTCAAAGAGTCTGGCTTATGCATGAAGATTTACTGACTAATTTTAGGGTATGTGCTGGAGGGGTATGGATCTGTCAGCGCTCTCCATGACAAGACCTGCTAGGGCGCACAATTGTTCTTGCCCCCCACCACCGTCCTGGAGCTTCGCTGGCCAGCTGCCAGCAGGAGCCAGGTGACACTCCACCTACCCTGCTATCCCTGCTCACCCAGCCCTGGAGTTCCCCTGTGGACCTGTCTCAGCAGGCTCCCTCCAGAGTAGCTCCTACCACGCTAAACCAAGCAGGCAGCCTCCTCGCCCCAGGCCCTTCCAAACCAAATCCTGCCCCGGGAAGGCGGGGAGAGCGGCCAAGCCCTGCCCTCCAGCACACACACACACCAGTGGCAGCCAGGCCTCCCAGCCACCTGCACCAGGAACTAAACCCACCCCATCAGCACGGCCGGAGCAGCTACAGCTGTGCCTGGCAGCCAGCCATGCGCGCAATGAGCCCTGCCCACCAGGGTAGCTGCAGCCGCGGCAGCCAGGTCTCGCGCTCACCTGTGCTGCAGGCCCGCTCTACCCACCAGCGCATCCTCAGCACTCACGGCCCTCCAGTCACAAAAGGAGGGCGCATGCAGCCCACACGTGACACCCCTGGAGTGCCAGCTTCTAGAGACCAAAGGGACTATGCTACTGGGCCCCACAGGATGCCTTCTATATAAGGCCACTACTTTCAAGTGTGGACTAGGAGATGTAGCTGACCTACCTAATGCACAGAAACAGAGAGCCAGACAAAATGAGGAGACAACAAAAGAAGACAAACCTCAGAAAAAGAACTAAATGAAACAGACAAGCAATCTACTCGATAAAAGAGTTCAAAGTAATGGTCATAGAGATGCTCAGACTTGAGACCAGAGTGGATACACTCAGAACTCTAACAAAGAAGTAGAAAATATAACAAAGAACCAGTGAGAGCTGAAAAATACAGTAACTGAAATGAAAACCACACTAGAGGGAACCAAAAGTATGTTAAACGATGCAGAAGAATAGATCAACCAGTCTAGAAGACAGGGAGGGTGGTGGAAACCACTGAAGTTGAGCAAAAAGAAGAATAATTTAAAAAATTAGGCCAGATTACGGGAACTCTGCAACAACATCAAGTGTACTAACATTTGTATTATAGGGATCCCAAGAGAATAGAGAAAGAGGCAGAAAACTTATTTGAAGAAATAAAAGCAGGTAACTTCCCTAATCTGGGGAAGGAAATGGACATCCAGGCCCAGGAAGCCCCAAACAAATGAACCCAAGAAGGTCTACACCAAGACACATAATAATTAAAATATCAAAAATTAAAGATAAAATCTTAAAAGCAGCAAGAGAAAAGCAACTAGTTACATAAAGGGAAACCCCATAAGGCTATGAGCTGACCGTTCACCCGAAACTACAGGCCAGATGGGAGTGGCATGATAAAGTGCTGAAAGGAAAAAACCTAAAACCAAGAATATTCTACCCAGCAAAGTTATCATTCAGAACTGAAGGAGAGATACAGAGTTTCCCAGCAAAATTTTAAAAAGTTCATCACTACTAAACCAGCCTTACAAGAAATGTTAAAGGGACTTCTTTAAGCAAAAAAAAAATCATACCTAGAAGAAAACTATGGAAGAACAATTTCACTGGTGAAAGCAAAATATATAGTAAAGGTATGAGATCACTTATAAAGCTAGTATGTAGGTTAAGACACAAAAGTAGTATAATCAATTGTATCTACAATAAAGGATACACAAAAAGATGTAAAACATGACATCATATACATAAAACATGGAGAGGGCAAGTAAAAATGTAGTGGTTTTAGAATGTGTTTGAACTTAAATGACCATCAACTTACTATAGACTAACATATAATCTAGTATTACACACACACACACAGGATGTTATAACCACAAACCAAAAACTTGTGATACACAAAAAATAAAGAAGAATCCAGGCATAATACTATAGAATGTCATCAAATCACAAGGGAAGAAAGCAAGATAAGAAAAAAGGATGGGTGGCTTAATCACTTGAGCATCCAACTCTTAATTTTGGTTCAGGTCACAATCTCAGGATTGTGAGATTGAGCCCCACATCAGGCTCCACACCTAGTGGAGTTTGGAAAACAAAACGAAAAAGCCAGGAAACTACATTAAATGACCAGAAAACAATTAATAAAATGGCAATAAGTACATGCTTATTAACAATTACTTTAAATGTAAAGAGACTAAATGTTCCAATCAAAAGACAAAAGGTGACTGAATGTATAAAAAAACAAGACCCATCTATATGTTGCCTACCAGATACTCACTTCAGACCTAAAGACAATACAGACTGAAAGTGAAAGGAAAAAGATATTCCATGCAAAAGGAGGCCAAAAAAAAAAAAAAAGAAAAAAGCCAGGGTAGCAATACATATATTAGATGAAGTAGACTTTTAAATGAAGACTGTGGTTGGCTGGGAAGATGGAGGAGGAGGACCCTAAGCTCACCTAAGTCCCATGGATACAACCAGATAACACCCATATCAGTGTAAATAACCTAGAAAACCCGAAGACTGGCAGAACAAACTTTACAACTAAAGGCTAGGAAGAGGCCACATCAAAGAAGGTAGGAAGAGCGAAGATGCGGCCAAGGAGCAAATCAGACCATGGCCATCCACAGTGGGGAGGGAGCTGGTGTGCAGAGAACGGCAGAAAATAGACTTTCACACCAGGGAGTCAGTCCAAGAATGGGGAAGACAAATCTCCATAATATTTGCCTTTGAAGGTGAGAGGCGCTAAATATTTTGAGTTCTTAAAACCAGCAGGACTTAACAGCCTAGAATTTAAAAAATTAGTGGTTTCAGCTCAGCCTAGACAGCATTCAAAGTGGAGTTTCCACCATAAAGAGAAAGCACAACAACCCACCCATGCAAATATAGCTTAGAACTAGCAGTTTGAAAAACACAAGGGGCAGACGGGAGGGATAATGATTTCCTCAGCTCAGAATGCAGCTCAGAGACAGGCATCACAGGGAGACCCCTCCAGGAACAAAGGAACTGGTAGGCACCATTTCTCTCCTCCAAGCCCCAGCATAAACAATGGCCACCTGTGAAAAGTAGTGTGGTGCTGAAACTCCTTACCTAACTTGCTGGCACTAAACCCTGTCCCCCCTTGCTTCAGCAGATCCGCCTTCCCAGTCATACTTGCCTGAGTCCTGGCTCCATGGGGCCCTCCCCAAGAAGACCTATGCAAACCCTGGCAACACCACATCTCCTGACCCACCCGTTTTACAGGACCTCAGTTCCTCTGGCAGGGGGCAGGTCTCATTTTGCAGGCAAACCACCACACACCTTGCTGCCCACAATAGGCAAAGAGAGGCTCTGCAGACAACTGGACTGAAGGTAAAAAAGAGACAAAGACTCAACAGCAGAGCACACACAACACACATAGGAGACACTCCCTGAAGCACTAGGCACTGGGGACCAAGGGACACTGCACTGCAGGGCACTATAAGACCTCTCCTTCACAAGGCTATTATTGTTAAGAGCAAAAGAAGTAGCTGACTTTCTTAACCTATAGAAACAGATACAGAAAGTCAGACAAAATGAGACAAAAACATCTCCCAAATGAAAGAACAGGACCAAACCACAGCAACAAACCAAAGTGAAAAGGATATAAATAATATGCCTGATAGAGAATTTAAAGTAATGATCATAAGATACTCACTGGACTGGAGAAAAGAGTGGAGGACATCAGTGAGACCCTTTAGAAAGAGATAAAAAAGAACCAATCAGAGATGAACACAATCGATGACATTAAAATACACCTGACGGAATAAACAGCAGGCTATATGAAGCAGAAGAACAAATTAACGACCTGGAATGGGGTGCCTGGGTGGCTCAGTTGTTAAGCGTCTGCCTTCGGCTCAGGTCATGATCCCACGGGCCTGGGATCGAGCCCTGCATCGGGCTCCCTGCTCAGCGGGAAGCCTGTTTCTCGCTCTCCCACTCCCCCTGCTTGTGTTCCTGCTCTTGCTATCTCTCTCTCTCTGTCAAATAAATAAATAAAATCTTAAAAAAAAAAAAAAAATTAATGACCTGGAAGGCACAGTAATGGAAAGTAACTAAGCTGAGAAAAAGACGAAATTATGCAAGCTGAGAATAGTGTTAGGGAACTCAGTAACTCCATCAAGTGTAATAACATCCACATTACAGGGACCTCACAAGAAGAGAGAGATAAGGGGGAAGAAAATTTATTTGGAAGAAATAATAGCTGAAAACTTTCCTAATCTGGGGAAGGAAACAGATATCCAGATCCAGGAGGCAGAGACATTCTCCCCCATCCCACATAACCAAAGGAGGTCCAAACCAAGACACAGTAACTAAAATGTCAAAAAGTCGCAATAAAGAAAAAATTTTAAAAGCAGTAAGAGAAAACAAGACAGTTACATGCAAGGGAAAACGCCCCCCTAAGGCTATCAGAGGTTTTCAGCAGAAATTTTGCAGGCCAGAAGAGAGTGGCATATATTAAAAGTGCTGCAAGAGAAAAATCTGCAGCCAAGAATACTCTATCCAGCAAGGTTATCATTCAAACCTGAAGGAGAGATAAAGAGTTTCTCAAAAAAAACTAAGGAGTTCACAGTCACTAAACCAGCCCTACAAGAAAAACTAAAAGGGACTTTTTGAATAGAAAGACCATAAGGGAGAGTATGAAAAATAAAAAAACAAAAGCAGTAAAAATAAATATTTCTATAAAAATTAGTCAAGGGATTCATAAAGTAAAAGGAGGTAAAATATGATACCATACACTTAAAATGTGGGGAGGAGAAGAGTAAAGAAGGGGTTTAAACTTAAGCAACCATCAACTTAATATAGACTGCTCTATGCAAAAGACATTATATGCAAACCTAATAGAAACCACAAATTAAAAACCAAGTAATAGAGGGTGCCCAGGTGGCTCAGTTGGTTGGGCGGCTGCCCTCGGCTCAGGTCATGATCCTGGAGTCCCGGGATCGAGTCCCGAATTGGGCTCCCGGCTCGGCAAGGAGTCTGCTTCTCCCTCTGACCCTCCCCCATCTCATGTGCGCGATCTCTCTCTCATTCTCACTTTCTCAAATAACTAAATCTTAAAAAAAAAAAAAAAAGTAATAGATATGCAAAGAATAAAGAGAAAGGAATCCAAGTATATCACTAAAGAAAACCAAAAATCATGAGAGCAAGAAAATAGAGAAAATCTATAGAAACAACAACAAAGCAAGTAACAAAATGGCAATAAATACATATTATCAGTAATTACTTTGAATGTAAATGGACTAAACATTTCAATCAAAAGACATAGGGTGCAGGGCACCTGGGTGGCTCAGTTGGTTGGGTGTCCATTTCGGTTTCGCCTTGGGTCATGATCTCAGGGTTGTGGGAGTAAGCCCCTCATTGGGCTCCATGCTCAGTGGGGAGTTTTCTCTCTCTCTCCCTCTGCCCCTCCCAGTGCATGCATGCACTCTCTAAAATGGGTAAATAAGGGGCACCTGGGTGGCTCAGTCAGTTAAGCCGCTGCCTCTGGCCTAGGTCATGATCCCAGGGTCCTGGGATCAAGTCCTGCATTGGGCTCCTTGCTCAGCAGGGAGCCGGCTTGCTTCTCCCTCTCCTCCCCACTTGTGCTCTCTCTCGCTATCTCTGTCTCTCTCTCTCAATAAATAAAATCTAAATGAATAAATAAAATGGGTAAATAAATCTTAAAAAAAAAAACACAGGATGACAGAGTGGGTAAGAAAATAAGACCCATGTATATGCTGCCTACAAGAGACTCAATTTCAGACTGAAAAACATCAGCAGACTGAAAGTGAGGGGATGGTGGGGTATGTGGGTGGCTCAGTCAGTTAAGGTTGGCCTTCAGCTCAGGTCATGATCCCAGGGTCCTGGAACTGAGCCCCGAGTCAGGCTCCCTGCTCAGCGGGGAGTGCTTCTCTCTCTCCCTTCAACCCCTCCCCCCCCCCCCCCGCTCATGTTTTCTCTCTCTCCTTCTCTCCCAAAAATAAATTAAAATTAAATTAAAAAAAAAAAAAGTGAGGGGGCACCTGGGTGGCTCAGTCGGTTAAGTGTCTCCCTTCGGCTCAGGTCATGATCCCAGAGTCCTGGGACTGAGCCCTGCATAGGGCTCCCTGCTCAGCAGGGACTCTGCTTCTCCCTCTGTCCCTCACCCCACTCATGCTCTCTCTCTATTAAATAAATAACATCTTATAAAAAAAAAAAGTGAGGGGATAGAGAAACATCATGCAAATGGATGCCACAAGAAAGCCAGCGTAACAATATTTATATTGGACAAAATAGATTTTAAAACAAAGACTGTAACAAGAGACAAAGACACTATGTAATAATCCAGGGGACACCCCAGTAAAAGGATATAGCAATGTAAATATTTATGCACCCAACATGGGAGGACCCTAATATATAAAACAGTTAATAAAAACATAAAAGAATCAATAGTAATACAGTAATAGTAGGGGACCACTAACACCCCACTTACCTGGATGGACAGATCATCCAAACAGAAAATCAACAAGGAATGACACACTGGACCAGATGGACTTAACAGTATATTCAGAACATTCCATCCTAAAACAGGAGAATTTTGCAAGCGCACATGGAACATTCTCCCGAAAAGATCACATTTTAGGCCACAAGACAAGTTTCAACAACTTCAAAAAAAAAAAAAAAAATTCAAAGCTATACCATACTTTTCTGATTATAACACTATGAAACTAGAAATCAACCACAAGAAAAAATCTGTGCTCACAAGTACATGGAGGTTAAATAACATGCTATTAAACAATGAATGGGTCAACCAAGAATTCAAAGAAGAAATTAAAAATTACAAGAAAACAAATGAATATGAAAACACAACAGTCCAAAAATCTTTGGGATGCAGAATAAGTGGTTCTAAGAGGGAAGTTTACAGCAATATAAACCTACATCGAGAAACCAGAAAAATCCAAAGTAAACAACCTCACTTTACACCTAAAGGAGCTAGAAAAAGAACAACAAACAAAACCCCAACTCAGCAAAAGGAAGAAAATGATAAAGAGCAGAAATAAATTATATAGAAACTAAAAAAACAAAACAAAAACAAATCAATGAAAACAGGAAGCTTGTTCTTTGAAAGGATCAACAAAATGGATAAACCTCTAGCAAGACTCTTAAAAAAAAAGAGAGAACCCAAAGAAACAAAATCATTAATGAAAAAGGAGAAATAACAACCAAGACTACAGAAATACAAACATTTATAAGAGAATATTATGAAAACCTACATGCTAACAGACTGGATAATTCAGAAGAAACGGATAAATTCCTAGAAACATATGACCTATCAAAACTAAAGCAGGGAAAAATAAAACAACTAAAGCAGGAAGAAATAGAGAATTTGAACAGACCAATTACCAGCAGTGAAACTGAATCAGTAATCAAAAAACTCCCCAAAATAAAATTCCAGGACCATTTGGCTTCACAGGTGAATTCTATCAAACATTTAAAGAAGAGTTAATACCCATTCTTCTCAAACTATTCCAAAAAAATACAAGAAGAAAGAAAATTTCCAAATTCATTCTATGAGGCTAGTATCACCCTGATACCAAAACCAGATAAAGACACTACAAAAAAAAAAAAGGAGAACTATAGGACAATATCTTTCATAAATATAGATGCAAAAGTCCTCAACAAAGTATTAGCAAACTGAATCCAACAATACATTAAAAAGTAATACACCACGATCAAGTCAGATTTATCCCTGAGATGTAAGGGTGGTTCAATATTCACAAAACAATCAACATGATACATCACATCAATAAGAGAAAGGATAAAAAATATACGATCATTTCAATAGCTGCACAAAAAGCATTTGACAAAGTACAACATCCATTCATGATAAAAACCCTCAACAAAGTAGGTCTAGAGGTAACATGCCTCAACATAATAAAGGCCTGATAGGAAAAACCCACAGCCAACATCATACTCAATAGTGAAAAAAGGAGAGCTTTTCCCCTAAGGTTAGGAACAAAACAAGGACAGCCACTCTCCCCAATTTTATTCAACATAGTACTGGAAGTCCTAGCCATAACAATGACACAACAAAAAGAAATAAAAGGCATCCAAATTGGCAAGGAAGAAGCCAAACTCTATTTGCAGGTGACATGATACTATAGATGGAAAACTCTGAAGATCCACCAAAAAACTACTAGAACTGATAAATGAATTAAGTAAAGTTGCAGGATACAAAATCAATGTAGAGAAATCTGTTGTTGCCTTCTTATACACTAATAATGAAGCACCAGAAAGTGAAATTAAGAACATCCCAACTGAGCCTGGGTGGCTCAGTTGGTTAAGCATCTGCCTTCCACTCAGGTCATGATCCCAGGGTCCTGGGATTGAGCCCCGAATTGGGCTCCACACCTGGTGGGGAGTCTGCTTGTCCCTCTCCTTCTGCCCCTCCCCTCCTGCTTGTGCTGTCTCTCTCAAATAAATAAATCTTTTAAAAAAAAAGTCCCATTTACATTTGCACCAAAAACAAAGTATCTAGGAATAAACTAAAGATGTAAGAGATCTGTACTCAGAAAACTATAAAACACTAATGAAAGAAATTCAAGATGACGCAAAGAAATGGAAAGACATTCCATGCTCATGGGTTGGAAAAACAAATACTGTTAAAATGCCTATAACTACCCAAAGCAATCTACAGATTTAATGTAATTCCTATCAAAACACCAACAGCATTTTTCACAGAGCTAGAACAATCCTAAAATTTGCATGGAACTACAAAAGACCCTGAATAGCCAAAGCAATCTTGAAAAAGAAAATCCCGGAGGTATCACATTTCCCGATTTCAAGTTAAATTACAAGTGGTAGTAATCAAAATGGTATGGCATAAAAACAGATACATAGATCAATGGGAAAGAACAGAAAATCCAGAAATCCACAATTATATGGTCAATTAATCTTCAACAAAGGAGGAATGGAAATGGGAAAGAGACAGGCTCTTCAACAAATAGTGCTGGGAAAACTGGAGAGCAACATGCAAAAGAATGAAACTAGACCACTTTCTTTCACCATACACAAAAATAAACTCAAAATGGATTAAAGACCTAAATGTGAGACCTGAAACCATAAAACTCCTTGAAGAGAGTACAGGCAGTAATTTCTCTGATATCGGCCCTAGCAACATTTCTCTAGGTATGTCTCCTGAGGTAAGGGAAATAAAAGCAAACATAAATTATTGGAAATTCATCAAAATAAAAAACTTCTACACATCAAAGGAAACAACCAAAACTAAAAGCCAACTTACTGAATGGGAGAAGATATTTGCAAATGACATATCCGATAAATAGTATCCAAAATATATAAACAACTAATCCAACTCAATACCCAAAAACAAATAATTTGATTAAAAAATGGGCAGAAGATATGAACGCACATTTCTCCAAAGAAGACATCCAGATCACCAACAGACACATGAAAGGATGTTCAACATTACTCAACATCAGGGAAATGAAAACCAAAACCACAATGAGGTATCATCTCACACCTCAGAAGGGCTAAAATAAAAAATACAAAAAACAACAAGTGTTGGTGAAGATGTGGAGAAAAAGGAACCCTCTTGTACTGTTGGTGGAAATGCAAATTGGTGCAGCCATTGTAACAGTATGGAGATTCCTCAAAAAATTAAAAATAGAACTACCCTATGATCCAGGAATTGCACTACTGGGTATTTACTTAAAGAATACAAAAACACTAATTCAAAGGGATATGTGCACCCCTATGTTTATTGCAGCATTATTTACAATGGCCAAATTATGGAAGCAGCCTAAATGTCCATTGGTACCTGACTGGATAAAGATGAAGTGGTATATATACGTATATACAATGGAATATTATTCAGCCATAAGAATGAAATCTTGTCATTTGCAACAACATAGATGGATCTAGAGAGTATAATGCTAAGCAAAATAAATCACTCAGAGAAAGACAAATGCCATATGATCTCACTCATATATAGAATTTAAGAAACAAAACAAATGAGCAAAGGAAAATAAAAAAGGAGACAGAGGGCACTTGGGTGGCTCAGTCGGTTAAGCATGTGCCTTTGGCTCAGGTCATGATCCTAGCGTCCTGAGATCTAGTCCCATATCGGGCTCCCTGCTCAGCGAGGAGTCTGCTTCTCCCTCTGCCCCTCCCCTCTGGTTCATGCTCTCTCTCTTGCTCTCTTGCTCAAATAAATAAAATCTTAACAAAAAAAAAAAAAAAAGAGAGAGAGACAAGCCAAGAAACAGACTCAACTATAGAGAACAAACTGATAGTTACCAGAGGGGTTGGTGGGTGAGGGATGGGGGAAGAACACACTTATCATAATGAAAAAAAAATGATTAAAAATAAGTAAATAAAATGAAGACTGTAACAAAGGACAAGGGTATTAAATAATGATACAGGGATCAATCCAACAAGAGGATATAACAATTATAAATGTACACCCAACATATGAGCACCTAATATATAAAGCAAATATTAATAGACCTAAGGGGAGAAACTGTCCCTGATACAATTAATAGGAGACTTTAACACCCCACTTACATCAACAGATAGATCTAGACAGAAAATCGGTAAAGAAATTGTGGCTTTGAATAACATATGAGACTAGATGGATTTAACAGATATATACAGAATGTTCCATCCAACAACAGAATACACATTCTTCTCAAGTGCATAGGGAATATTTTCCATGAAACATCACGTTAGGTCACAAAAGAAACCTCAATAAATTTAAGGTGACTGAAATCATATTAAGTATCTTTTCCAACCATAACATTATGAAACCAGAGCTCTGTTACAAGAAAAAACTTGAAAAAAAACAACCTCAGGAAGACTAAGCAACACACTATCAATAAACAATGGATCAAGAAAGAAATCAAAAAGAGGAAATGAAAAAATACCTTGAGACAAATGAAAATGGCAACACAATGGTTCAAAATCTTTGGGATACAGCAAAAGCAGTTCTAAGAGGAAAGTCTATTAGCACTAAACCTAATAATCAAGAAACAAGAAAAATGTCTCACAATCTAATCTTACACCTAAAGGAACCAGAAAAACAACAAAGCCCAAAGTTAGTTGAAGGAAGGAAATAATAATGATCAGAGCAGAAATTAACATAGACTAAAAAAACAATATAAAAATGATTAATGAAACTACGCTGTTTCTTGAAAAGATAAACAAAACTGATAAACCTTAAACCAAACTCATCAAGAAAAAAAGAGGACCCAAACAAATCAGAAATGAAAGAGAAGTTACAACCGACACCACAGAAGTACAAAGGATAAGAGACTACTATGAAAAATATATGTCAACAAATTAGACAACATAGAAGAAATACATATATTTCCAGAAACATAGAATCTTCCAAGACTGCATCAGGAAGAAACAGAAAATGTGAACAGACCAATTACTGGTAACAAAATCAAAGTGGTAATCAAAAAACTCCTCTAACATCAAAAGTCTAGGACCAGACAGCTTCACAGGTGATTTCTATCCAACATTTATTTATCTATCTATTTATTTTAAAGATTTTATCCATTCATTAGTCAGAGAGAGTGAGAGAGAGCAAGTACACAGCAGGGGGAGCAGTAGGCAGAGGAGAAGCAGGCTCCCCACTTAACAAGGAGCCCAATGTGGGACTCGATCCCAGGACCCTGAGATCATGACCTGAGCCGAAGGCAGACGCTTAACCCACCGAGCCACAGGCATCCCTATTTTTTTTTAAGTTTTATTTATTTATTTGACAGAGAGCACAAGCAGGGGGAAAGGCAGAGGGAGAGGGAGAGGAAGAGGGAGAAGCAAGCAGTCTCCCCACTGCGCAGGGAGACTGATGCAGGGCTCAATCCCAGGACCCTGGGATCATGACCTGAGCTGAAGGCAGACACATAACCAACTGAGCCACACAGGTGTCCTCTACCCAACATTTAAAGAAGAGTTAATACCTATCCTTCTCAAGCTATTCCAAAAAATAGAATAGGAAAGAATGCTTCCAAATTCATTCTACCGAGACCAGTATTATTCTGATACCAAACCCAGAAAGAGACACTACAAAAAAAAAAAAAAATTACAGATCAATATCCCTGATGAACATAGATGCAAAAATTCTCAACAAAATATTCACAAACCACATTCAACAATACATTAAAAAAAGGATCATTCACCACAATCAAGTGGAATTTATTTCAAGGATGCAAGCAAGCACAGTTCAATATCTACAAATAAATCAACATGATGTATCACATTAACAAAATTAAGCATAAATCATTTCAACAGATGCAGAAAAGGGACGCCTGGGTGGCTCAGTCAGTTAAGCGTCTGCCCTCGGCTCAGGTCATGATCTCAGGGTCCTGGGATCGAGTCCCGCATTGGGCTCCCTGCTCAGTGGGGAGCCTGCTTCTCCCTCTGCCTTCTGCTCCCCCTGCTTGGATTCTCTGACAAATAAATAAAATCTTAAAAAAAAAAGATGCAGAAAAAACATGTGACAGAATTCAACATCCATTTATGATAAAAATTCTCAGCAGAGTTGGTAGAGAGGGAACGTACCTCAACAAAATAATAGGCCATATATGACAAGCCTACAGCTAACATACTCAATGGTGAAAAGCTGAAAGCTTTTCTTCTAAGATCAGGAACATGACAACGATTTCCACCCTCACCACGTTTATTCAACATAGTACTGGAAGTCCTAGCTGTGGCAATCAGACAAGAAAAGGAAATAAAAGGCATCCAAATTGGTAAAGAAGAAATGAAACTGTCACTATATGCAGGTGATATGACATTATATATAGAAAACCCTAAAGACGCCACCAAAAGACTACCAGAACTAATAAATGATTTGGTAAAGTTGCAGGATAAAAAATTAATATACAGAATCTGCTGTGTTCCTATATACCAGCAACTATCAGAAAGAGAAATTAACAATCCCACGTACAATTACCTCAAAAAGAACAAAATACCTAGAACAAATTTAACCAAGGAGGTAGAAGAACTGTATGTACTCTGAAAACTATTAAGATTACTGATGAAAGAAATTGAAGATGACACAGATAAATGGAAAGATACTCTGTGCTAATGAACTGGAAGAATAATATCAAAATGTCCATACCAACCAACCAAAGCAATCTACAGATTCAGAACAATCCCTATAAAAATGCCAACAGTATTTTTCATAGAACTAGAACAAATAATGCTAAAATTTGTATGGAACCACAAAAGACCCCAAATAGTGACAGCAATCTTGAGAAAGAACAAACCTGGAGGTATCCTTTATTTCAAACTACACTATAAAATCTATCGTGTTCAAAACAGTATGGTACCAGCATAGAAAAGACACACGGATCAACTGAACAGACTGGAGAGGCCAGAAATAAACCCATATTTATATTGTGAATTAATCTATGATAAAGAAGGACTAATATACAACATGGAAAAGACCGTCTCTTCAATAAATGGTGCTGGGAAAACTGGACAGCTACACGAAAAGAATCAAGTTGGATCACTTTCTTATACCACATACAAAAATAAACTCAAAATAAGTTAAAGACCTAAATGTGAGACCTGAAACCATAAAACTCCTAAAAGAAAACATAAAAGTAATAAACTTCTGGACATTGGCCCCAGAAATATTTTCCTGGATCTGGCCCCTCAGACAAGGGAAATAACTGGAACTACATCAAATGAAAAGGCTTTTTGCACAGCAAAGGACCATCAACAAAACAAAAAGGCAACCCTATGGAATGGGAGAACATATTTGCAAATTACATACTAATAAAGGGATGATACCCAAAAAAATATAAAGAATTCATACAACTAACCAAAAAAATAAACAATCTGATTAAAAATGGGCAGAGGATCTGAATATGAATTTTTACAAAGAAGACATACAGATGACCAACAGATACATGAAGAGATGCTCAACATCACTAATCATTAGGGAAATGCAAACCAAAACCATAATGAGATATCACCTCACACCAGTCAGAATGCCTAGTACCAAAGAGAGAAGAAATAACAAGTGTTGGTGAGGATGTAGAGGAAAGGGAACACATGTGCATTGCTGATGGGAGTGTAAATTGGTGCAGCCAACATGGAAAACGTATGGCGGTTCCTCAAAAAATTAAAAATAGAAATACTACATAATCCAGTAATTCCACTACTGGGTATTTAGCCAAAGACAACCAAAACACTAACTCAAAAGATACATGCACCTCAAGCTCACTGAAGCATAATTTGTAAGAGCCAAGATATGGAAGCAACCCAGTGTCCACTGATAAATGAATGGATAAAGAAGTTGTGGTGTATATACAGTGGAATATTACTCAGCCATAAAGGGAATGAAACCTTGCCATCTGTGACAACATGGATGAACTAGAGGGTATTCTGCTAATTAAGTCAGACAGGGAAAGACAAATATCATATGATTTCATTGATAGGTGCTATCTAAAAAATAAAAAAAAAAAAGAACAAACCAAACACAGAAACGGACCCCTAAATACAGAGAACTGGTGGTTGCCAGAGAGGTAGAGGGATGGGCAAAATGGATGAAGAGGATTAAGAGGTACAAACAGTTATAAAATAGTAAGTCACAGGAATGAGAAATAAAGCATAGGGAATATAATCAATAATATTGCAATAACTTTGTATAATGATGGCTGGTAACCACACTTATTGTGGTAAGCATTTCATAATGTATATAATTCTGAAATCACTGTTGTACACCTGAAACTAATGTAATATTGTGTGTCAACTATACCTCAATTAAAACTTTTAAAAATAAATATAAATAGGGATGCCTGGGTGGCTCAGTTGGTTAAGCGTCTGCCTTCAGCTCAGGTCATGATCCTGGGGTCCTGGGATTGAGCCCCACATCGAGCTCCTTGCTCAGCGGGGAGCCTGCTTCTCCCTCTGCATGCCACTCCCCCTGCTTGTGCTCACTCTCTCTCTGACAAATAAATAAAACCTTCCAAATAAATAAATAAATATAAACAAACCAGACTGGGGGAAAAAAAAGTGTGCAGACAACTTTTTTAAAAAAGCACATTGAACCCGTAACACCTAGTCTAGATTTTAAGTAGTTTTTCTCTTATCTTTCAAGGCGGACTTAAATCCTTTTTGAAACACTGCAAAATGTAAACAAGTGCCAGTTACCAAAGCCCATGCCTAAATCAGTCACTATTCAACTACCACAATACCTTGGGAAAAAGAATACCATACTGTATAATCTCATTTTTTCCTTACTTACTTAGCATATATACATTCCTTCACTACTGTCTATTTTCCTGGATTAATATGAGATTTAAGTTAGGGACTATATGTGAAACACTTGGTAAACAGTCATGTTTACAGAAATATATAGTGTTTATATATTAAAGGAAGATGAAGAGATTGTGGGGTGATACTATTTGAAGTCAAAGTTTGATCCTTCAAAGATGAGTAAAACTTCTTTAAAATTCTAATTCAGGAAATAAACTCATGTTAATCACTAACAGTACTGTATATTTTAATACCTGGCAATTCTACGGAAATTATATCCAACAATCTTAAAGTCTTTTATTGAATTCAATCAGAAATATACAGGGTTTTTTTGCAATCATAAATATAGAAATAAATGAAAAATGAATTCTATGACATACCTGGACCAACTCTGAATTTACAAAGTAAATAAAAAATACTCGGTTCTCATTTTATCAAGTGACTCTGACCAACAAGTGAAAAATACATCATTCCTGTTGATGGTTTCTTGTGGGATTCCTTGAGTATATTTTAAGTAAATAAAGACTATATTAGACTACAAAGCAACAAAGAGATTTACAGCAGAAGCACTGATTAAAATGATGAACGTCCCCAACGGTGGAAGGAGCATTTTGCCAGAGGATGCAGAGGGATGGGTTTTGGGACCTGGAACTGGAACTGGAACTGGACCTGGAGCTGTTAATGAGAACACACAATCATTGACACATGTCATTTCTGATACCCAGTTTCATGCACCTAAGCCATGTATCCTTAATATGTAGACATTCAAGTTGAGCTACAAACTTTCCTAAAACACTAACCAGGAACAATGTTGAAATAAATATAGTTCATTACAGATTTCAGGCTGTATTTTCATATATTATCATCAGGGTGTGTGTGCTGACACAGTTTTTATCTAGGATTCCACAGCCTTTTCAATATCTATATAGACAAGATACTTTTTGTTGTTGTTCAAGTTCTCTAGAATTTCTTAGCAATTTTTTGTTTTCATTTTCTGTATATACATGCAAGGTAAAGTTTGATTCTATTTCAAGACGATATTTCATATGTATATGCTAATAGTTACCAATACGTGATTAAATTCAGCTGCATTTTTAAACACGAAGCCCTGCCAGCTGAAAAAAAAAAATTAACTTTTTCCCTCGGTACACGAAACACTGGTCTGGAGGAAACGGTTTCCCTTTCATCTGAACTAGTGAAGAGAAACAGTGGAGCCCACTCATAGGATGATGATCTGTTTCACACTCCCCGTAACTGAATTATGGCTGTGTTTTGGTTCAGACTGTACAAGGGAAGACTGGGAAGTATCCAAATGGGATCACCACTCAGATTTCATACATGAAGCCAAGAGAAACAGCCAGTAAATTTTATGTCTTTAACTCACATTATCAATTTACTCGCCATAATTATAAAAATGTAGTTGTATGTATACAGATGGGGAAAGGGACAGGCAGGTACAATCATACATTAGTTTGTTACTACAGAGCAGTGGTTCTCAAGGGAGCAGTACTGCCCCCTAACAGGCAGTTTGGAATTTGTCAGGGTATATATATACATATTTTTTTAAGAGTTAAATTTGTCAGGGCGCCTGAGTCGCTCAGTCAGTTAAGCGTCTGCCTTCGGCTCAGGTCATGATCCCAAGGTCCTGGGATCGAGTCCCAGATCGGGCTCCCTGCTCAGCGGGGAGTCTGCTTCTCCCTCTGCCTCTGCTGCTCCCCCATGCTCATGCTCTCTCTCGTTCTCTCAAATAAATAAATAAAATCTTAATAAAAAGAGAGTTAAATTTCTTTAATGGGACCATCCCTACTAAAACTGTCAGCATGTGCTGAGTGTAAGGAAATCATGAGTTAGAATCTTGATCCTGAGCATTTCCTTCTTTTGTTTTTAACCTTTTCCAAAATTTTGTACCTTTCATAAATCATTTCCATCTGTAGGTGATCTTTAGGATCTCTAAAAATAGCATACTACTTTAGTTGTCTTGGTTTTTTTTTAATTTTTATTTAAATTCAATGAACACATAATGTATTATTGGTTTCAGAGGTAGAGGTCCGTGATTCATCAGTCTTATATAATACCCAGTGCTCATTACATCACGTGCTCTCCTTAATGTCCACACTCAGTTATCCTATCTGCGCCCCCCCACCCGTCTCCCCTCCAGCAACCCTCAGTTTGTTTCCTATGCTTAAGAGTCCTCTTATGGTTTGCTGTCAGGTATTTCTTGATAGTCACAACAGTGGGGTAGTAGAGGGCTCTTTGGCTCGGGTCATGATCCCAGGGTTCTCGGATCGAGCCCAGCACCGGGCTCCCTTCTCTGCAGGGAGCCTGCTTCTCCCTCTCCCTCTGCCTGCTGCTTCCCCTGCTTGTGCTGTCAAATAAATAAAATCTTAAAAAAAAAAAAAGTAGAGGGGCTAGATATCTTGCAATGCTCTGGACTGTGTTTGCACCAACCCACTTCCACACCAATTTCAAATGCACTGGCAGACATACATATAAGTTAATAACCTATTTATAATGCTTAAGTCCAGAACCTGAATCAGTTTTACATAGAAACAAAATATTTTTGGATAGTTCCAATAAACCTCAGTTTCTATCTAGCTTCTATTTCTTGCCTTTCATTTTCTTAAACTTGCACAGAATTGCTTCCAGTCTTTTCTTAAATCCAATTTGTATAATTAATACAATCACCTGTCCATTATTTCTTTTAGTATAATGTAGGCACTTACATATTGAAATCTATATAATTTTGTTATAAATTATAATTAGGACATTATATTGATATTCTTATGGGTACAAGTAGGTCTTCTTATCTACGCATGTTATTCCAGACACTACAAAGGCTTTATAAATATTTGTTATAAAAAGGGAGAACTGGGTTGATAGGGTTGAGAACCACTGCTCTAAACAAAACACACAGTTGAAAATGACTGAAGAAATTAAGTTACTCCCACCATATACACACTAATAAGCATTTGGATATGACATTATATCCCATATTATGATGCCTTAAACTCTTGAAGCTTTGTTCCTGTTACTGAGGAAAAATAAATTTGTCACTTTTTCTATACTGCAGATCAGACATTTATCAACTAAGGAAATGAAATATTTCATACCAGGATTGCCGGTATCTTCTTGACTTTTGTCTTCTAAAATATAAACAGATTTTGAGTTAATTATATTGTACATCTATTTATCCAGAAGAGAATAATCTGATTAAGCAAACTTGGTTATCTCTGAAAATGGGCCTGAAGGGCAGAGTATTAGGTTTAGATTTATGTGTGGGGTTGAGGAAGCGTTTAATTTTTACTCACTTGTGCTCTTTGAATTTTTTTTTTACTATTATGTGTATGTGTTTCCATTAAAAGAAAGATTAAAATTTTATTTACAAAATAGTATTTTCTGGACATTGAACTAAGATTCCCAAGTACAACATTAATACCTATCATTTACTAAGTGCTTCCTATGCATCATACTTTGTGCAAATGATTGATGTACATTGTCATGTTTCTTACAGTCTCAGTAGGTAGGTATAGTTATCAGTATTATACAGATGTTCCTCAAAACTTGCATAAAACCACAGAGGTAATGAATGGAAGCAATGTCTAATTTCAAAACCTCTGCTCTCAATTACTATGATACACGACCTCAATTATAATGCTATACTAGCACTGAAATATTACGATATTGCCGTATTTTGACAGCTTTGAAGCCAAATACCAATTCTTGGAGCCCAGGATAGAGGTGTATTTTCTATAACTACATCTGGTTGGAAGACAAGTGTCATATGACAGAAAGTGAACAAAATTTGAAAAGTGTGAGTCCTAGTTTTCTCTTTCTAGTCTTTTACAGGTTCCTTAAATTTCCTATATTCCATATCTTCATCTCTAAAATGGCAATAACAATATTTAAGTGGATTAAACAAGATCCTGTGGTAAATGTTTTTTGCCACTTTTAAAAAGCCTGCACTACACAAAGCTTTCTAGGTGAGTGCACAATACAAAATATTCCCAGCAAAACCTGGTGGCCTGTTTTTTGGAGGACATGGTAAGGGCAGTGAGGAACACAGAATGACTCGTCTCAAACACACCTCTTTGATGATGCTGTTCCAGTTACTACAGATTCCCTCACAATAGCCACGTTACCTTGGGAAACCTCGTGTCCCATTCTGGAATAGACCCCTGCAGCAGGAAGCCAACTGTTCCAGCTGCAAGTCAACTGTCTTTTTCTTTGCTTAGCCCAGAGAGCCATAATAGCGGCCTGCTGCTCACACTGGTTCCTCAACATTTTCTCCCTCTGGCTCGCAGACTGGGATATCAGAAGCTGAACAGCCCAGGTGTTTTCCTTTGCCCTCGCAAGACTGAGCTAACTGAATGATGATGGTAAAGGGCCCAGAAAACCATGATACCTCCACCCCCAATAAAGAATTTATTACCAGGTTTTTCATCCAGTTGTACCACTTTTATTCCTAAATGAGAAAGAATTTCAGATAATAAGAAAGACAACTACCATTTACTACTATTTTAAACTACCATTCATTTTGCCAGACTTTATCTCATTAGGACTTTAATCAGTCCTGCAAGACGTTTTCTTCATTTTACAGATTTGGAAGCAGAAGCAAAGAAAAGTGAAATAACTTATATATAAGTTACCCAGAGGAAAATGGCAGAGGAGAGACTTAATGAAACTAGGGGTCTACACAGCCTGTGTTCATTCCCTGCCCGGCTCAGCAGCTGCCTTTCAGATAACCACTGGCTTGAAGGAGCCAATGAGAACACTACACAAACTCAGGTCACTGAGTTGAAGGGTTGTAGACACACAAGATGTGTCATCAGTGTTGTTAGAGGTTCACTTCAAAGTTGTGAGCAAACAAACATGTGGCCCAACGTGGCAAATCCAGGTGAATATAAAAGAGCTGCTGGACCTTCTCTCTGGGCCTAAATCTGTGAGTGAGGCGATTAACTGTGAATATGCTGTCTTTGTATACAGCACTGTGCTATTTCCATAGACAGCGATGTTAGGCAAAGCTCAGCACTGTGCTATTCATTCCATAATAATAAGACATACCAAAAATTATTTTCAAAATACTGCAAGAACTCAGGAGAAAAGATTTAAGCATTAAATGGCGGCTTGAACCCTGAGATTCTGTGTTTTTCTAGTCCTTACAGATATTCCCATAAGGTAAACATGACAATTATTAGCCGTATTTGAAAGATAACAATTCTGAAGCAGAGAACTGTTAATACTGTCCACAGCTCTCTTGGAAATTATGTCCACTTTTTTAAAAATTTACTTCTCTTTGTCCCAGGAAAAAAATTAAGTTTAGAGACTTTTTCCTCCTCTGTAAGCATTAAGTTCTAAGCCCCTTCTGAGGAACTTGACAGAAATTACTGTTCAGGGCGCCTGGCTGGCTCAGTCGGTTAAGCGACTGCCTTCGGCTCAGGTCATGATCCCAGGGTCCTGGGATCGAGTCCCACATCGGGCTCCCTGCTCTGCAGGGAGCCTGCTTCTCCCTCTCCCACTCCCCCTGCTTGTGTTCCCTCTCTCGCTGTGTCTCTGTCAAATAAATAAATACAATCTTTTAAAAAAATAAAAAATTTAAAAATTAAAAAAAAAAAAAGAAATTACTGTTCAGTTTCTCTGGCCACAGAAGCTCAAGGCCCCTCAATGGCCTTGTTCTCACCAACAGCCTCACACTGTTTAAATACCTATTTGACATTTTCATGATTATATCTTATAGGTAAGTTAAATCTGCCATGGTAAAATAAAACTGGAAAAACACTTGAAGAACCACGTCTTAAGGAATGGGTGGGTACTAGGTCGTAAGTTAAGAGACGTGGGTCCTTTATTCACTTACATGATCTTGTACAAAGTACTCAGGCTCCCCTGCATTATCTAATGGTGACAATTATAACTATACCCCCCAAATTGGCAGCTTCCTCTCTCATATGCCAACCACTGCTTACCTGGTAGTGAAAACATTTCTGGAATTTTCATTCCTAAATGAGAAAGAAGCTTTCAGTAACTTACAGTTTGCTCCAGTGAGTGTATTTTCCCACCTCTTATCTAAGTGATACAAGTGCCAAAGCTCCCACTGCACTGTAGTTTCTGGCTTTTTATTTGAAACTTCTGGCTATGAGAACCCTCGCTGTGCAAATCCACTTCAAGCTTAGAGGAGTCTTCTGCCATGGCACCGCACACTGAGTTTGTCTATATGCCAGAAGACTATATTTTGTTACCTTTCAGCTTTCGTGTGAAGCTGAAGTTTCTGCCGAGTAACGTTAGCTGTAGAACCTAGAAGGTGCTGGCTTGCATACCTCCAGGTCCCAGCAGCCTTGCCTTCAGCCATGCCCCTAAGAAGCTAACTTTTCTGCTCCAGGAACACATGTATACTAGAGATGAAAGACTCTTTTTTCCTCTCTACTCTCTTCTCCAGCTAAATCTTTGTAGAATGGCTAGTAGGCAGCTGTAAGGGAACGGTTAATGAATAACAGTCTCATGATAATACATTCTTTAATGCCTGGGGGAATTCTTCTCACCTCATACTTGGGCCCAAAGGGTAAAAAGAAAGCTGTCTTACCAGGTATTTGGGTGGGTTCATGGCTTGTCATACCTCAAGACAGAAATGAGTATTAGTGTTAATCAATTATCTTGCACTGTGAATACTCTCTTTTGTCTACACCCTCCCCCCCAACCCTAAAAAAAGTAACAACAAAAACACCTTTCAGTGGCTCTTCATTCTCTGACAAAGCCCACTCCTTAGCCTGGACTTTAAGAACTTCCATGATCTGGCCCCTATCTCTCCAATCTTATCTTTATAAGTCAGTCCTAGTACAGCAGCTTTTAAATGAAACAGTACTGAGTTTAAGACTCTGTGTGAGGGCGCCTGGGTGGCTCAGTTGGTTAAAGCGACTGCCTTCGGCTCGGGTCATGATCCTGGAGTCCCGAGATCGAGTCCCGCATCGGGCTCCCTGCTCGGCAGGGAATCTGCTTCTCCCTCTCCCACTCCCCCCATTTGTGTTCCCTCTCTCGCTGTGTCTTTCTCTGTCAAATAAATAAATAAAATCTTTAAAAAAAAAAAAAAAGACTCTGTGTGATTTAGTTTTATTGTCATTATAATTATTAGCTCTAGGGCGCCTGGGTGGCTCAGTCGTTAAGCGTCTGCCTTTGGCTCAGGTCATGATCCCAGGGTCCTGGGATCGAGTCCCACATCGGGCTCCCTGCTCGGCAGGAAGCCTGCTTCACGCTCTCCCACTCCCCCTGCTTGTGTTCCTGCTCTCGCTATCTCTCTCTCTGTCAAATAAATAAATAAAATCTTAAAAAAAAAAAAATTATTAGCTCTATGATTGGGCAGGCTTCTTAATCCTTCTGAGCTTCAATTTCTTATTTATGCAAAAGAAATACATCATAGGTTTGTAAGTAAGTGATGATTAAAGGAAATAAGTCATAAAAGTGCTTAGTACACTGCATGGAATCCCTCTGTTCTGGCTTAACTCATTCCTCAAACTCTCCATGTCCAGTTAGTCAGCCCTTATGTTTCCCGCTAACCTTGTAGCTAGTCGCAGAGGGTAAGGAAAAAGATCACTTACCAAATAAGACAGTGGACTCCTGGCTTTTCATTTCTAAAGATGAGAACAGAAACTCTTTAGTGAAAAATGCAATCAACTTGAAAATTAATTTAATCTTGTATTTATATGGCTATTTACAGTGAAAAACTAAAAGCTTTGAGAGATGGCAGGGACCAGGGTAAAAGGGGAGAAAATTTAATCCACTGGAACTTGACTGACTTATGGTGAGAACAACTATGGCTAGAGACCCAGGCTCTCTCCTAGATTAAGCAAAACAACAGCTCTTTGTGATTTTTTTTTTTTAAGATCAGTCCAAAAACTCCAAACTACATTTGTCATATTAAGAATAAAATTTGATTACATAATACATTATAATTACAGATAATTTGGAAAAACACAGGAAATCATTAAAAATTACTCAGAATCCCAGATCTCAGAGCTACTCATCCTCAATATTTTTGGTATATCTCCTTTCAATTTCTTTGCTATGTATATGTACATATACATTTTTAAGCATTTTTTTCCAGCCTTGAGAGATGTAACTGATAGACAGCACTGTGTAAGTTTAAGGTGTACAGCATAATGTGACTTACATATATTGTGAAATGATCACAATTAACATCCAGCATCTCATATATTTTAAAAAAGAAAAAAAATGGCTTTTTTCTTGTGATAAGAACTCTCAAGATCTACTCTCTTAAAAACTTTCAAATGTACCATACTGCTGTACTACTATACTCATCCTACTATACATTATATCTCCAGTACTTATTTCTCTTATAACTGGAAGTTCGTATCTTTTGACATTTAAGATTTATTTATTTTAGAGCAAGAGAGAGAGACAGAGAGATAAGCAGATTCCCTGCTAATAAGCACAGAGCCCAACATGGGGCTTGATCTCATAACCCTTAGATCATGACCTGAGCTGAAATCAAGAGTCGGATAGCCAACCGAGCCACCAGGCGCCCCTCTTTTGAAATTTTTAAATAAACTGCTATTACAGTTCATATGTTTTTATATATTTTACTTGCCACTATATTATAAGCACTTTCTCATACTTTTCAAAAATATGATTTTTAGGGGCACCTGGGTGGCTCAGCATAGAGTCACCTTCTCTCCCTCTTCCTCTGCCCCTCCACTGGCTCACATGCGTGCATGTGCTCTCTCTACAATGGATAAATAAATCTTTAAAAAAGATATGATTTGTTTAGTATTTCATTATATGGATAGTATTTAACAATACCCAACTGTTGGACACTAAGGTTATTTATAAATTTTGGCCACCACACACTGTAAACATTTTGTACACAAATCTTTATTTCCTTAGTACAAGGATATAGGATATAACACAAATGTGTTATAACTAGGTTAAAAGGTATGGACTTTTTAAGGCTAGTAATACATACCATCAAACTGTCCTTCAGAAAAGTTCCAAATTTTAATCTTACCATTAATTTGTGAGTGTCCCTGCCCCAGCACCCTTGAGGACATTTGAGTAATACCATTATAAAAAAAGACAAGAACAAAAACTTCGGAATGAGCTGTACTTCGAAATATACCAAATAATCAGATGGATATAGCTAAAAGCATCTATTACTCAGATTGCTGGAAGCAGAAATAAATACAGAAAACATTTTAATTTAGAAAAAAATAACGCCATTTTTTAATGCCCCTGCCCAACACCCTAGGTTACAAGAGTTTGTAATTAGTCACACCTTCCTCTATCCATATAACAGCTAACATAAAAACAGAAAATATGCTCTTTAGTATATGTGCTGCCAAAGTGAGCACAGAAAATATACTCTTTAGAACTAGTTCCTCAGGGCGCCTGGGTGGCTCAGTTGGTTAAGCGACTGCCTTCGGCTCAGGTCATGATCCTGGAGTCCCTGGATCGAGTCCCGCATCGGGCGGGCTCCCTGCTCGGCAGGGAGTCTGCTTTGCCCTCTGACCCTATCCCCTCTCATGTGTTCTCTCTCATTCTCTCTCTCTCAAAATAAATAAATAAAATCTTAAAAAAAAAAAAAAAAAAAGAACTAGTTCCTCATATCATGTCTCTAAATGCTCTGTCGGTCATCTCGGAGTTAAACAGAAGAGTTAAGTAAGAGACAAGGCTACTGCATCATCTTTATAAAGGTCTATCTATATAACTCAGGAGGGCTCTGATATACCAAACTAGTAAGCTAAAGTGGGTTCTGTCTTCTTCCCACTTTTCCTTACTGTGTTATGCTTACCTGTTTCCATCCCTAAGAGAGCTATATTGCCAATGAAAACCCCCAGAGTTTACAAAAATGTCTTACCAGGGTCTTCAAGGTTCTGGTCTTTCTCACCTAAGTTATAAGAAGAAACTTATCCATTTTAATGATAAAAAAAAATTGAGAATAACTATAGTTACAGCAAACTATTTTCAGATATTAGAGCCACAAAGAACCACTTGGTATGTCCAGTAAACTAAAGCTACTAAATTTAAGTGTCAGCCAGAATCTAAATGCACCGAATTGGGCTGGAACCTTCCTCTGGCCCCTTTTATTAAGAAAAATCAGGGAGACGAACCATGAGAAACTATGGGCTCTGAGAAACAAACTGAGGATTCTAGAGGGGAGGGGGTGGGGGGATGAGTTAGCCTGGTGATGGGTATATTAAAGAGGGCACATATTGAATGGAGCATTGGGTGTTATACACAAACAATGAATCATGGAACACTACATCAAAAATTAAGGATGTATGGTGATTAACATAATAAAATAAAATTAAAAAAAAAGAAACCACTATCCTGTGGACATTATGGAGAAATAAAAAAAAAAAAAAAGAAAGAAACAAGAGAAAGAAAAATCATCACATAGAGCAAGTCTCCTGGGGATCTCAATGAGGTAGAAAAATGTCCGTCTTGAAGAGTTAGCTGAAGTCCATGTGAAATGACCAGTAAAACTTGTGGCTGCAATGGGCCAATAAGAAGTGCTGTTAAGCAAGTCCTCAGGGGCTTCACGTGAAGCTTCACAAAATGCTTCACGTCCGGGCAGGAAGTATCTTCCAAACATCAAATAAATTGCATACTTAAGGAAAAGCCAGATGCTTTCCTCTCTTCAGTAAAGAAAAACTTACTGTAGCTAAATGGGCCAAACACACAAGGAACTTATGCAAAAAAGTGATCTGAGTCATATCAATGGAAGTGGAAGCTTAATGGGGAAAGCATCCAATCACCCAGATATTTTAGTCAAATAATCGCAAACATCAGCATATTTGACAGATGAAAATGAGTAGCTTTTCTGCTTTCATCTGGATGTGTGGTGCCACACAGGCTAATCTCAATGACGGAATACAGAGCTATATAACAGGCCCTCAGGCCTGTCAAGAGCAACTAGCCCTTCGGGACCTACCAACCTTACTCCCCAGAATGTTTCCGTATTATTCAGATCTCCAGAGACACAACCTTCCCATTAACAAAAAGTTAAGTTTCCCCCAGAATAAATTCTTTTTTCCCCATCTCTTTTCTCTCAAGTTACACCTTCATACCTGCAAAGTACTCTTTCTTCACTAAGAAGTGAATTTGCTAAACAGGAAAGAGCTACTAAATACTAAACATCCATGTAAGGATTATTTTTAAAAATTAGAGCACACTTACCAGGGCTGTAGATATAGATGGGTAGATGATGTTCTGAAATACAAACATGTTTTCATTACCTAGTACTATGCTCAGATGTAAGTAATGTCAGGTTCAGTCTATTTTTAAATGTTTATTAATAAAAAAGATTTAACTTGGCTTCCAAAAATACAGTAATATGAGAAATATAAAATTTCAATTTCAAAAACAAATGGGTATGGATTTTAACTACATGAAGAATTCACAGAAAAACTAGCCAGGAACACAGCTAGAAACAGAACTTTATAGTCAAACTTTTTAACAAGGAAATCTTCAAAGGGATCCACCCAAAGCATGCATTAGCCTAAAGCACTTTCTGGAAACTTTGGTTCAAGTCTGTTGGGCTTATCTGATAAAGCTCCTCCTCCTAGAATTCCTGTTTATCTTCCCAAATCTTTCCCATGGTCCTCTAAGGAAGATTATTTTTGTTACCTCCTCCTATTTTTCCCTGAGGAAGGTCAGACAGACCACATTACGATTCTGTCCCCTCAGTCCCCTTCAGCCATATGCACTATATTCCTTTCCTTTTTGGTCTCCCAAATGTTATTTCCTAAGATATCAAAATATGGGAATATGAATCTAGCACTGTGCATAGGAATCATGTAGGGACATTCAAAAGTCCTTAAGCTCCTCCAAGGACAGGCTAGGGTGAGAGTGGCATGGTCCTTGCACGCCCAAGGCAAACGCAGTGTTTGAGAGAACAGCCACAGGCAGGGCTGGGGGTGGAGCGCAAGCCACAGAGGCTCCTGGGCCCTCCAACTGACGGGACGGTGGTGGTGGTGGTGGCTGTAGCAGCACAAGCAGCAGCACAAGTCAGCCTTGAGAAGATGATGGCTGCAGAATGACAACGGGGTGGGTGGCTCTGACCCGTATCGGGAGACAGCATATTCCCATTCAGAAATAATACTTTAAATGCATATCTTACCCATGTTCTCAACACAATTTTCAGTTTTTAGTCCTGAAACATGAAGATAGAGCTTTATTAGTTAGATACTCTATGCCCTAGAAAAGATTTCAAAGATTTTATTTATTTATTTGACAGAGAGAGACACAGTGAGAGAGGGAACACAAGCAGGGGGAGTGGGAGAGGGAGAAGCAGGCTTCCCGCTGAGCAGGGAGCCTGATGCGCGGCTCGATCCCAGGACCCTGGGATCAAGACCTGAGCCAAAGGCAGACGCTTAACGCTGAGCCACCCAGGCGCCCCTGCCCCAGTAAAGATCTCAAATTGGTCTTATAGCTACTGGTAATCTAATCTGTCAATTTTAGTCTATCAGATCCATAATTTGGTGGGAGTTGAAATGCGGAACAATTACATTTTTGTACTCACATTACAGCCATTTAACAGCAGTATGATCTTTGACAAAACATCTAATGTTTCGGGAATTCACTATCCTTATCTGTATCTTTCACTGGGAGTTTGCTTCAAATAACCTCCAAATGCCCATCCAAGGCTAACACTTTATGATTCTATTCTATGATTAGTTGGCAAACGTTAGGAGAAAAATTATGTGTCTAATTAATCTTCTCTTCAGATACTAAATGTCCTCAACAGAAAACCTATCCTTTTACTATGACAATTTCTTTTTTAAGAGAGAGAGAGAGTGAGAGGGCATGTGCATGCACAAGAGCAGGGGGAGGGGTGGAGAGAGAGAATCTTAAGCAGACTCCACGTTCAGCATGGAGCACGACTGTGGCTCAATCTCATACCCTGAGATCATGACCTGAGTCTAAATCAAGAGTCAGACGCTTATCTTACTGAGCCACCCAGATGCCCCTATGACAATTCCTATTCACTGGACAAAAGAATCTCAATCAGATCTTAAAGATCCTTGGATATATAAAGAAAGATCCTTCACATTCACATAAACAAATGGTCTATCCCAGAACACTGATCTATATATGTAAGGAAATCCATAGTTTTTGGAAAGCAAGAATATGGCATCTATCACTGTATCTTTATAAGGCCCTAGACCCTCTTGCTGGGTCTAGGGCCTTATAAAACTAAATCATCAGTGCTGCAGTGACTCCTCTGAGACATGACATCCAGGGATATCTGCTAGCCTGCCCAACAGAGGTTAAGGCAAGAACTTCAGTGGGAGGACGTTTAGATTTGGTGCCAGCATGAGCCACGGAGGGCCTCCAAGAATGCCAGGATGGCCTAGAGTCCTATGGTCTCTTCTCCATGCCTGGCTAATTCACTGATCTAATCTGGATATTCAGCTACCTGAGGATGAATCTCTCCATATAAAATGGGGGAATCCCTAAGAGATCTGGCTTCACTATGAGAGATGTGCTTTTCTGTAATCTGCTCTCAAATCCTGTTCCATTTGGGGAGTTTGAACCAAGAATCTAGATGACTTGGTCCAGTTTCTACTGGTCCAGGAAATGGTACAGATCTATTAGAATCTGGATGGTGCCCTGAGGCTAACCTTAGGTCTCTAGCTAAACTAGAAATTAAAAAACAAAAAACAAACAAAAAAACAGTCTAGAGACTAATAAAAAATATCGCATTAGCAGGAGATGAATGAGTGCAAGTCTCACTCAGAGGGCTTAGCTGAGGGTGAGGTAAAGATGAGGGAAGATGTAGCTAAGAAAGCTATAGGTATAATAGATTCAGCCAGGGGACTAGACACTGGGGAATTTTTTTTTTTTTTAAGATTTTATATATTTATTTGACAGAGAGAGAGACAGGGAGAGAGGGAACACAAGCAAGGTGAGTGGGAGAGGGAGAAGCAGGTTTCCCACTGAGCAGGGAGCCTGATGCAGGGCTTGATTCCAGGACCCTGGGATCAACACCTGAGCCGAAGGCAGACAGTTAACGACTGAGCCACTCAGGTGCCCCAACGCTGGGGAATTTTAAAGCCTTTATCTTTCATCTGTACCACAAATTAGAGTATGTTTCTTAAAGTGTAATCTGCTAATCACATACTTCAGAATCATCTGGGTGTTTACTGAAATCGCAAATTCCAGGACCCTCGCCAGGACTACTGACAAAGAATTTCTGGGGGTGATGTCTTGTAATCTACATTTTAAACAAGGACTCCAAGTGATTTTTTATGCACCAAATTTTTGAGAGCCTTCTCAGTAGTAGAGATGGATCTCCTTTAATGTTTAATACAGATCCATTTATTCAAGACTGCGTTTCTCCTCCCTATTTGACTTTGGATTTAATTTTCCATTAGTGTTTCAACAGCAGAAAGTAAACTATTTTGGGTTTCTAAAGCAGTAACAGGATTAAAATGAATGAGACTGATCAAAAATAAACAGGAGAAGGCAGAAATACATAGGGAATGAAAGAAGAGAATATAACCACAGATTTGGTAGGTGTAAAAAAAAAACCATGAGATTACTATGACTAGCTTTAGGCCAATAAATTTGAAATATAAGACAAATACCCAGAAAAACAGACTTTACCAAAATAACTCAAGAATAAATAGAGGGGCACCTGGGTGGCTCAGTCGGTTAAGCATCTGCCTTCAGCTCAGGTCATGATCCCAGGGTCCTGGGATCGAGCCCCGCGTCGGGCTCCCCGCTCTGCAGGAAGCCTGCTTCTCCCTCTCTCACTTGCCCTCCTTGTGTTCCCTCTCTGGCTGTCTCTCTCTGTCAAATAAATAAAATCTTAAAAAAATAAATAAATAAATAGAGAACTTGAATGACATTACAACCGTTGAATAGCTTAAATTTTTTCCACAAAGAAATTACCAAGATAATTTGGTTTTTACAGAGTACTAAAGAGAAGGTAGCTGCACAGAGAGCTCCAGAGATCTTCAAAGGGTTTCCCTCAAGTATTGAGCAAAATACTGTCCAACTTACACATGTGAGGAAACTACGTGAGGCCCGGAAAAGAACCCACAGGAACAAGAGTAGTGCCTATTCCCACCAGTCACACTGGAAAACCTTGTAAGTTGTCATTTTAGCAGTGAACTCTACAGTAAGAAGACTTAGAAACAGTCCAGACAAGAGTAAATAAAGCCTCTCAGGAATTCCCAATCTCCTTCAGATCCTAAGAAATTACAGATGTCTGTGACCAAACTCACAGCTGGTTGGAATTTCCAGCAACAAGACTAAGGCGGTATTTGTTGATCACTGGGTTTCTGCACACAAGCCCTTTGCAGGGCTGCTACAGCTAGCCTGTCACTGGGACTGAGACAGACTGTCTCACTGAAAGAAAAGTCATGACTCTCCAAACCCCTATCTTATCATGCAATGGATTCTCTCTGAACTTAAGTCCCATAGGTAGGATAAAACCCCAAAAGTTCCATCACATGGAAATTTTACTTCCAATTAAGAGCCAAACCTGGCTGCTAAGGCCTTAACCACTTTCACAAACAGGTGCCTGTCCATCTATCAGAACTGCAGTTTCCGAACAGTGGCAGAAATTCACAGGGCTCCCAAGGGATATTTTAAAATTTTAGGACAAACACAGATGTACTTGGTATCTGTCAGATATAGCATGAACTACTAGCTTGAAGTAGAATGCAGTTTCAAAGGTATGCCATGTTACATTCTGTTTGATGACCTCAAATATTTACAAGGCTGCGTTCTCAGCAATTGTGATAAAAAGCAAATATATGTGAAAATCAATGTGGATCAGCAAATAAGGTGGTATCCAATCTGATTCCAAGCTTTGAGAAGCTGTGCAGTGTCCAATAGGCACACACATCCCATTAGCAAGTTATTGTGGCTAAGAATGAAGTATTTTTTTAAAAATTTGTGTATTATTTTTTAAAATAGTTATTACTAAGATGTTTCTAATTCTTAGATGAACATAATACTTATTGAGTTGTTTGACTTCACTTAATAAATGGAACTTTCAGGTATTTCTTTTAGCCTGTGGACACTGTGAAAACAATTACGACAACACTAGGGACACCATGAACCAAGAAAATTTGAGAACCTCTGCATTAGACACAACAAAAGCTTACTTACTACTTTACCCAAACTACTGGCTCAATAGGGGCCTTACCTACAAGAATTCGCACCTGAGAAGACAGTACAGTTCTCTAATAAAACAGCCTGCCCCCAGGTTGGACAAATCCAATGGAATGCTGTATTCATCCATTTTAATAATAATTTGTTCATTGCCTTGGATGTTCTTGTGAGGAGAAGAACTTCAAATGGTGATCCTGGCAGGGACCCAGGCACCACCTTGGGACTGACTGAAATCTACCAGTGCCAACGCTAATGCTCTAAAGCTGTATGATCAGGCCACTGAGACACTCAGAACTGATTACTAAAGATAAAACCATATGCAGTCCCTCTCTATGGAAACAAACACAGCAAACACAACTCATGAAGTCAATCTTTATGTTATACATATACATGTTTATGCGGCGAATGCATCTAAAGAAAGGCATCTGGAGACTGGCAAAACAAATCAAGCATGTGTGGCCATTGTCCCTACTACAGCTTCTGGCTCTATAAGCAAAGGATTAGGGCTTTCAATAAAAAATTCTATCAGCCTCCCCACTGAAGATCTCTACAGGGTGAACTGGTCTGACTATCTTCAGCTATTTATAAGTTGCATACAACCATGCTAACCTGTCTTGGCTGAGTTCCCAAGCTCCAAGGAATTAGGTATTAAAGAATGAGGTGAATTGGAGGAATAGTATACTCTCCTCCTTTTTGTGTAGGTGTGCTTGTCCTGACCTCAGTGGATGGACATTTATATAAAACCTGCTTTTACTTCAGTAAATGAATATATATTTATATTTCATATGACCTCAGCAAATAAACCGTTCATATTGATTAGATCAAAAACACCAGTATATGAGACTGTAGGCTTACTCTGCTTCCAGTGGTTCTGTAGCTAGTCTCCTTTGCCAGAGAGGTCACTGTGGAACTGATCATTATGGAAAAAAGGACAGCCAATCTGGATCATCCCCAAGAGGAAGTGACAGCATGTAATGGGTTGGGATTATGGTAGGCAGCTTCTCATACGGTTCCCAACAACCCTGC